CTGGTTAACAGGTTGCGGTTCAGGGACGGTGGCGTTGGGGCCTGACCGGGTCTCGAAACTGGACAAAGAGGACCCGGTCGAAGAAGAGGAGGTTGAAGATTCCTCGGATGCGCAGGCATCCGAGGAAGAAATACCTTGACTATCAGAGGAAGACATCTACCGGGAGGAAAAATGAAGAAAGAAAGCTAATAAATGATAGGAAGAAAGCTTACTTGACTCGGAGGGCTAGGAGGCAAGAACAGAGAGAAGTTGACCGGTGAAACTCGAGAGACGCGCGAGGAAGAAGTGAGGAAGGCAGTGGGGATGGAAGCCTTTATATAGGCGAGGAGGAAGGAGAGGGAGGCGACGTGGCTTCACCAGGGCGCGCCGCGTCAGGCGGCGCCATCATTGCGCATGGGAAGACGAAAGGGCGCAGGTCTGGCGTTGTCCAGCGGGCCACACGTGTCATAACTGACACTTTGAGTTTTGAAATTCAAAAATTTCGAGCGGGAAAAGCCAGAAATTTGAATTTAAAGGTCCAGTTTTAAATTTTTACTTCCCGCTTATGACAAAATTGCATCACCGAGAAGTGGAGGGCTTATTGATGGGTGTATTTCACCCACGACCGGTCAGAGGTCAGGACCGGATAGTTGACCGGTCAAAGAAGTCAAACTTTGAAGAGAGATCTGAATGGACCACCGAGTGACCAAAAAGTGGACCGGTACACTTCGGAAAGTATACCGGTCAGCTTATTCCATCAGCAGGAACCGATTCCGAAGACAATTAATCCAAGCCTTCAGAAATCAACCGGTAATACTTTTAGAGATCGAGGAGTGTCGGCAGGAGGAGTCCAAAAGGACTTGGACTTTAGTGGTTGGAATTGCAGAGATCCTGGAGGAATATTTCCAAGCCAGAACGTGACAAGGAGGGAAATCCCCTTCACAAGATGACAAGGCGGCTCAGGAACAGTCATCTCGCACCACGTCGGCAACGTGCCCTCACGTGGGCGCACGTGGACCTGTTCCCCCAGCTTAGTATATATACCCCTTGTAAACCTCAGAAGGGAGATCCGAATTCATTCTCTCTAAACTCCCTTGTAAAAGCACCCGTGCATTCTCCGTTATAATATAAATTGGGCTACAGGTGTTCCACCTAAAGTCCTACCGGTCAATCTGCGTGTTTTTACCTTTCTCACTTTGCCAAATCGAGCGAACTATTCTAGACCCGGTCTAGTATAGTTTGACCGGTCAAATAATTTACACCATCAGACTGGATTATTCACAAAGTTGTTCCTCATTAATTATGAATATTTACAAATGATTTATATATCATTTAAGTCATTTTATTTCTACAAAAGAATATTTAACTTATACTTAACAGCAATAAGCCAATAAGCACCAGAGAGAAACATCTTCATTGTTAGATGTTTAATATTCTAATTACTTGATATTTTTAAATTTAATATAAAATTATATTTTAATATTCAAATTGTTATCAAAGTAATTATTAAAAATCAAATTTAGCACAAATACTTAAAAAATAGTGCCCAACACATAAATTTTGCAAAGGGCTAATCTCATATTTTACATTTTCACACTCACAACAGATATCCTTAGATTTTGTTGTAATGACTCAAAGAGTATGTTTCCTCCATTATTTTAAGGGAAAAAGACTAAAATAGGAGTAAAACATTAAAAATATACCGAAATAGGACTTCCATATTTTGATTCTCGAAATATGAGTTAAATGTATTTACATTACCAAACATGGTCATGTACATTACCAAAAAATATAGTAATATACACATTTAGAGTGCCACATTATCACATTGCAAACTTCTTATATTTTGATATTTTTTCTATGTTTTAGTGTGATTTAGGTCGATTTCTATTATTTTAACCACAATCATTAATAAATGTACTTTTTTCTATTTTTTTTCCTTAACATTTTATCTTAGTAACTCTTAAATCCCTCGTTTTTACTTTTTAGGTTTCCTTTTTTTGTCTCTTTATTTAACACGTTTTTTAAAATTTCTTCTAGAAAACCTATAAAAAATTCAATATTGTTTGTAAATAAATCACCCTAAATCAGAGTAAACATTAAGAAAATATCAAAATAAAAGATCTATATTTTTATCCCAAAATAAGACTTTCCATTGTGATAATATAGTATTGTATATGAATATTTTTCACAATCCTTTTAATATTACATATTGGCATAATTGACATTGTACATGTATTTTAACTCTAATTCTTTAAATAAAAATTTGGAATTTCTATTTTGGTATATTTTCTATATCGCTCAACTTTAATTTTTTTATACGATATAAAAAATAAATTATACTAAAAAGATAAAATAAGTAGTAAAATAAAATGAAAAAAGCAAAATTTTTTCCTAGAAAGTCCTCACAAGATTCTTTTTTTTAATACTATGTACTGAGAATTAAAATAAAAAAGAGATCTCACTTTCTAGATGATAAGATCCTTATTTCATTTTTTGTATTATACAAAACAAGAATTTTTGAAACTAGTTTCTAAAAGAATTAAAAAAACATTTATAAAAAAGGAAACAAAGAACAAAAAATTGAGGTACCTTGAAATTATTAAAATAAAACCGTAATGAAAATATAAGAAAAAGACTTTTATTTACACCAATGGATGAAGTTTTATATGGAATGTCTCATCTCAATCATTAGATCAAAATATAAGAACCTCGATTATTTTTTTTTTTGAAAAATATAGAGATCTTTTGACAAAATATGTTTTACCATGATGAATTTTTTGGATTTCTTTTAACATTTTTTATTACTATCTCCTCCGAGATTATATGTTTAAATTTGATCTTTTGCAATCACAATTAATAAATTTTGTTCATTAATTAAAAACTCTCATCGTCCCTTTTGAATCTTCTCAATTTACTTTTCACGATCTTCAATGTAACAATTTGATCATTAGTATTTTTATTTATAGATAGATATATATATATATATTATAAAAAATAACCAAATAATTTCAAATTTACCCGAGCTTTCAAAAAAATGATACTTTTCAATGTGATGCATAATAACTTCAACTACACTAAAATTTACCAGTTTTGAGTCGTTGTAAAGCTGCCAAAGTCTAGTTAACAAAAATAGTCTGTCTTTCGCATCAAAATGAAAGTTGTGATTTGTTTTTGATAAATTTTTGATTTTTTTGTTTTTGAAACTTTTCCTTAAACTTTTAAAATGACTTTCTACATCCATCATATTTCTTTTTTTCTCAAAAAGATTAGTCATACCTCAAAATAAATTTTAAAAATGGATATAAAAAATAACAAAAAATGATATAAAGAACTAAAACTATTCAAAATAAATGAAATAAATAAGATAATCAATAAAAATTAACCTCAAACTAGTAAGAAATAAAATATAATAGAGTGATGCATTCTAATATTTTATGTAGTATGTGGAGTGTTAATGCAGGGAAGTGTTAGGGGAACCCTAGTTGAGATACATAATGGGAAGAATAGGCACACAAAGACATTCAATGTCTCTGCATGCACAGTCGCACAGACATTTAGTGTATGTGTGTGCCTGTTTTTATCTTGGTGTACATTTGGTGTACTATAAGTGGGGTTTCCCAAGCTTTTTCATTAATGTATTCGTTCTTCTTGTTTGTGAAATATGAAAATAAAAATAAAAAATAAGAAAGAAAAAGATTAATATTAAAACCCTAATGAAATTATATAATATTTTTCTTATTGAAAAATAACTAAAATGAATTAATGTTGAAGAAAATATTTTGTTTATTTTGTTTTTTTGGGATTTAATAAGAAAATATTTTTTTATTTCTTGTTTTTTTATTTTTATTTTCTAACAACAAGAGAAAGCAATACATTAATACTTCGTATAATGTCAAAAAAGAAAACTTTATCAAAATCGTGACTTTAATTTTGTTACAAAAAACATGCCTCTTTTAACAAGTTGTTAGCGGTTTAATGGCAATTCAAAACTCATAAATTTCAATAAAATTCGAGATCTTTACATATAACCGTGAAATGTGAGATTATTTTTATAAAAATAGGTGAAATTGGATCGTTATGGATAAGATTTCATCGGCCCGGTTCCGTGGCCACTGGAACCCAGTGGCCACGGAACCTACTGTCATGATTCAGACACCTACGATGCTTCATTCGTAAATTTGATGATTCCTACTTCTCTTAACCCCCGGTAAACCACATGTCCAGTCCCGACCCCACCTCATCTCCCACCTACATCAATTGCACCTCGCAATTTTACTTGACTTTGATGTCAAAACTTTAGACTTTAAAGTCAACTATACTTACGGGGTGTAATTGACACAGGTGGGAGATGAGTTAGGTCGGGATTGGGCAGGGGGATTTACCGGTGGGTTAGAAGGGGTAGGAATCATTAATTTTACGAATGGAGCATTATAGGGAAAAAATGGCTTCAGTGGCCACTGAAATCCAATGACCACTGAACGGGAAAGGGGTCACGAGTGCCCGGAGTGAGAGACTTTGCCTTTCGAAACAAGAGAGGCAGAACTCTAACTGCGGCAGCTTCATCTAATGCAACGACGACTCCTCTACAACGGCGACTATCTAGATGATGATGTGATCAACACTTGCTCCCAATGCAGGGATGACGCCCTCTAGCGGCACGACAATGATTTTCTAAAATTTGTGAATATGATAGAATTTGGGTTGTGAGCATTTGTACATTAAGAAACAAGTATGATTGTAGCATTCAAATATTAATGTACATGTTGTTTTTTGTACATACATTTGCACCATTGCACATATGCAAAAATGAGTATGTGCCATGTTTTTTTTATTTTTGCTCTAAGATGGCTTTTGCCGGATTTGATCAACCAAAAAAAGGCTTTTGGCAATTGGCTACTTGAGTCACAAAAACCAAAAAATAAAAAAGAAATATTTACACTAAATAACACTAAAATTTGAGTCGTTTCCTTTAATAATACTTAAACTGTTTTATTCTCCAAATATCATTTAATAATGTCTAGTGATGTCGAATATTTACTTGAATAATGACTAAAAGTATTACATTGAAAAAAACACATATAATAATATTTAAAAAAAATCATATGTTTTAGTATTATTTAAAAAAATTCCTCTATGTAAAATTATGACATTGGAGTTTCCAAATCAGTAATCCTCCCTTCACTGGAAATCTTAAAAGCTTAACCCAACTCCGGCGACCTCAAAACTCCCCCCTCCACCGTCCCGTCGAGATGCGAGCTGCGGTGTGCCGTCAGATTATCTCCAGATTTCGATCGTCCACACTCTCATCTCTCCATTGTAGGACCATTTCCGCCGCTCCAACTTCTCACCCCGGCGCTCTGTCGCCGCCCCTCTCACAACCCTCCAAAGCCTTGCCCAACCCTAACCCCCGGACTATAACCCCATCGGAAAGGCAATTCGATTCGTGGATTAACAAACTCCGTCCAGGGTTCACTCCGTCGGACGTCGATGAAGCCTTGCAGGCCCAATCCGACCCGGATTTGGCACTCGACATTTTCCGGTGGACGGGCCAGCAGCGAGGCTACAAGCATGATCACGTCACTTACCACCGCATTATCCGCATCTCCGTTTCCGGTAAGCGTTACCGGGCTGCTGAAACCCTAGTTGAGGAGGTCTTTGCCGGGGCTTGCGTGCCCAGTCTCCCCTTGTACAATTACATGATTAGGTTCTGTTGCAGCCGGAAATCGCTGTTCAACCGAGCATTTGACATTTACAAGAAAATGCTGAAATGTGAGGATGCTAAGCCAAATCTGGAAACCTATACGCTATTACTGAATGCCCTGCTCCCTAAGTTTAACAAGCTGGCTGTTTCTTATGTGTACATGCATTCCGTGAGATCGTTAGCTGTGCAAATGAAGGCATCTGGTGTGATTCCGGATACTTATGTTTTGAATATGATTATAAAGGCTTATTCAAAGTGTCTTGAGGTTGATGAAGCAATCCGGGTGTTTCGTGAAATGGGATTATACGGCTGTGAACCAAATTCATACACATATAGTTATTTAGCCAAGGGGTTGTGTGAGAAGGGGAGAGTGGATCAGGGAATGGGGTTCTATAAGGACATGAGGGACAAGGGCTTTATCCCCAAGGGAAGTACTTACATGATTTTGATATGTAGTCTAGCAATGGAGCGGAGATTCGAGGAAGCTATTGATGTGGCCTTTGATATGCTGAGCAATTCGTTGTCTCCTGATTTGCTGACTTATAAAACTGTGTTGGAAGAGATGTGTAGGGATGGGAAAGGGCAAGATGCATTTGACCTTCTTGAAGAATTTAGAAAGAGGGATAGTTTCATGAACGAGAAGACCCACAAGTCTTTGTTGAGCGTGTTGCATTATTTAAATGAGAAGTAGAGGGCTGCTGTCTTCTTGAAGTCATTTGAAACATCAAAACCACACCTGTTTTTTGGTAATATTCCTTGCACCATTATCTCTATTTTGTGTTTTGGCCTCACGCAAACAATAGACCAAATCAGAACGTCACATTACAGTTCCCTTTCTTTTTTTTACTTTATATGAAGTATTGGGTAGTAAATGCAACAATGCATCACTAGTCTAACAGAAGTAACCTCTGCTTTTACACTGGTAAAACTGTCTGCATTAACCCCGGGCCCAGTAGATTTGGGATTACATTGAGTTTGTCTTTTGTTGTTGTTACTTGTTAGCATAATGTGTATTTTAGAATGGCCCGATACAAATAATAGCTTATTTCACACATGCTCCGGTAGCAGCACGTTATAACATACATAGTATCATTTTGCATCATAGCAATTATCTCCATTGTATTCAGAGTGCCATATCTATGTGTACAGCTTCAATGGTGCCATGAGGTTTTTCTCTCTTCAAGACACATGATATTATACCGTTCTGTTATTGGATTACTCTATAGGATTGGCCTATATTTTCATTGGGAAGAGTATGGGAGAAAAGACATAGCTGAGTATAGCTTCTAAACTATGCCATGGAGGGGTCCGATCCCCTTGCACACTTGAATGGGATAATCAATGGGTATTGGAGGTATTTGCAGGCCGGCCTCGATTGGCTGCATTTTCAGCTGAAATGGGGGAGTTATATGCTTTTTTTTCAAGAAAAGGCGAATATTCTTCATTGAAACAATAGGACGCAGAACAAAAGCAACGACATGAAAAGATCACTGGCCATCAGAAGAATGAAGGAGTAATAGTTTGGATCTGATTTAGCGATACATGGCAGTGTTGTGTGCCGATTACTTAGTTCCATTGAGCGAAAGTTATGTGCAAGGCTTCATTGATTTGAGTAAGCTTAGATTTCTTTTCTCAAGTCATGTAAATGTGTAACCTTCATCTTCTTCGCACTTGTTTTTCCGGTGTCTCTGCTCTCCTTAAAGCCCCTTTTACATATTCTCTTCCCCATAAATAACTCATAATTTTCATATCTTACATTTGTCTTCTTTATGGGTTGTTTGGTTTGTCTCCTGCACAGGTGTCTTGCTGTATTCCCTCTTTGATTTTTTTTGGTTAAGCTATGCTGGTGTTTAGCTTATGGTAGGGATGACAATTCAACCCGAACTCGATCTTAACCGACCCGATCAAACACTAAAATATCCGAACTCGACCTAAAATTTTTTACCCGAACCCAAATCAAATTTTTTTTACCCGAACTTGATATTGGGTCGGATCGGGTTGTGCATTTATAATTTTACCCGACTTGACTCGAACCCGAATATTTTATAACCTAAAACCCTATCTATGGATATAATGAGCACTCTGTATAATTTTTCTCTTCAATTTTCTAGTGCAACCACATCTCTCTCTTGGTCCTTACGTTACATCTCTACGCGTTTTCCATTCTCTTTCTATGATTCTTCCTTCCTTGCATCTTTTGCCTTCTTGTATCTCTAGTTTGTCTACTGTCTTGTTCACATTTCTAGCCACGTAGTTGTCTTGATAATGTGCTACTATACCAAATATCTCTATTATAATTCTTTTTATGATTCCTCGATCAAAAAATGAGACAAAAAAGAGACAAGAATTTAGATTTACTCTTTTTAAAATTATTGGGATACGTGGAATTGGTTATTGGTGAAATTATAGATTCAGGTTCGGATTTTGGATTTAGATGTTGGGTTCCTGTCGGATCAAGTTTTTGGTTAAAAGTTGAGTTTCGGGTTTAAAAGTTGAGTCGAATTCGGGTATAGTACTATCCGATTCGAATCTAATCTATTGTCACCCCTAGCTTATGGGTTGACTATTGGAAATTTATTGGATAATATAGCCGAAGTGTTTAATATGTTATATTATTTTAGTTGCGTTGTTCTGGAGTTTAATGAAAAAAGGTTAAAAAGTTTTTGGAAAAACATAATTATAACATACTCGGTATTTATGTGAGCACATGTGGAAAATTATTGACCACGCAATTTCTTGTATCAAATTTGAATGCAAGAACAAGTGGAGCGTAGGATGATTATTGAAAAATATCAAATTGAACCATCGTGATGTTCTAGAAGGATATTTACGAGTTCTATTTTCGAACATTCTTTTTTTGTCTCTTTCTATTAATCTATCTGTCCTAGTATTTGATTTTTTTGAATCAAATTAGATAAATTTTGTTCAAAACGCTAGCGATTGAAGAAATCAAGATCCTCCACTCCTCCTAATGGGGGCAGGCCAGGTTGAGGATTAGGCGGATTAGAGGGCGTTGGTTAAAGAGTTGTTAGGATATTCTCTCAATGAAGAATGATTTTTGATGGAGACGAATCGTCCGTCCCTTCTTTAGTCGAGGAGTTCATATTCCTAGAAGAATCTAACCCTCTTTTCTCTCTGGTTTTGAAGTGGTTGCCTTAGCATTTCCTTGCTTTAGATCCTATCAAATCCTTCTTTATATCATACCCGGAGGTATGTCGTAGTTAAAAAAGTAAGAAAACCCGCATTGTACTGTAGAATCAACAAGGGAACAAAAGGCAAAAGCATGAGAGGGAGAGAATAAAAAAGCAGCCAATATGAGAAAAGAAATTCAGGAAAAAAAATGTACTCTTTCAGTCTCAAAAAATTTTACTTTTTGAAAAAACGTATCCTCAAAATGAGTAATTTTGGTATTGTTTTTTAATGTTGCCCTTACTTTATAATAGAGTAAAATGAGATGTGTAAGATAGATGCATCATAATTAGAAAATAACACCAAAATTATTTATTTTAAAGGCGCGCCTTTTTTTTATTCGCATGTGTTTTATCTGTTCTATCACCGAGCTCCTTGGTAAAAATAATATGCTTGAGCACGACATTGGCCGGTCAAATGTGGTACGTATTATTTTTACAAGAAAAATATTTGATTCAAGAAATTAGAGTATTAATAAAGATTTGGACGACTAGCAAGATCAAACATTCAAGAACACAACGTATGAAGACTGAATATAACACACAGAGGATTTATTTACTTTTTAAGCTGATGATTCTCACAACTTAAAAAAGTAGAGAACTTGTTGATGAGAAATAATACGTGGCTGTGCTCACATTTACCAATTATTGTTGAAGATCAATCCAACCGAATCTCTTTAGTAAAATGAAAGAATAAGAAATTATTCCTCTATAGATGCTCCGGCTCTTCCTATAAAAGGAGAGCTCTTTCAGAAGTGAAGGGGGCATCTCTCCTCTCATCATTCTCCTGCAAACACATTCCTCCTTCTCTCTAGTTAGCTTTTCTTATATTTTCATCAAAGAAGTTCAATCTTCCATTAATGCATTCTAAGCCTCAATCTTATACTGCGTACAAACCTACGATATTAATAAAAATTCTCCGTTAGTAAGGTACCACAAAAACAGGCTTGTGGTTTTCTCCCAATTGGATTTTCACGTCAAAATCCCCGTGTTTGTATTTTGGTATATTTTGTCAGTGGTTTATCGTTCTTGCCCGGCTAAAAACGATATATCGTTCGAGATAATTTTTACCATCAGTGGGTGTTCGCAACTTCTATGATACACCCGGTTGTAACGTTTTTTCTAGTACAGCCGACGTCTAATTGGAGTGAGGAGCTGCATCGATCGCAAGGGAGGTTTAACGCTAAGTGCAACAAATTAATAGAAGTGTGGTGGCAGTGATCTCACTCAACGCGACGAAGATAATAATGTCAACTTCTTGGAGAGGAACACGAACTAAGAGTGCATAAGCGGAAGGGGTGAAATTCTAGCCACGGATCTGATATAGCGTGGGTCAGATTGACAATCATCTTCGACGGAAAGAAGAAAAGATTGCATGGTGGTCGACAGCGGTTAGATTTCACAACAGCATAGCAGTTGTCTTCTGGCATTGGAGCAATAGTTTGAGGACGAAGAGAATGAAGATGATGTGCATCAGATTTCAAATGAGTAGCATGTTACTTATAAATAAATATTATGGCTCTGTTTGGTACATGAAAGTCAAACTATGAAATTGGAATTGGAAACAATAATTCCAAATTTAGTGTTTGATAGCAAAAAATGTGTGAATTTGAAATTAGTAGTGCAAAAAATGAATTAGAATTGGAAAATTCAATTCCATCAAAATCAATTTTATAAAATTTTAATTTCCAATTCAATTCTGATTTTGTCAATTCCTTGTAGCAAACGGACCTTATGTATAATTGTAATGAAAAAAATATTATTTTTTTTTGTAAAGAAGAAATTTTATTTTAATTTAAAATGAACATATGAAAATAATATTTTATTGATTCAAAATGAACAAATGTTAAGTATTGGAACTCCTAAACATTTTGTTGATTTAAAATGAGTATTTGTAGGATTGTAGGAGGTATTCCAACCAGATGAGAAAAACAAGCCCACCATCCAGAGAGAGGAAAAGAACAGAAGAGTTTTTCTTTCTTCTCCAAGATAATGACGGATTCTTGCGAGAATCTTCCGTCTTCTGCGAAAATCTCTAATCTGAATTGCATCGACCTTTCCAATCCCGACAACAAAGCCTCCGCTTCTCTGCTCAAACAGGTATATATCGCAATCTCTATTTCAATACGGAGTATCAATGTTGCTGGACAGATTTGTTTAGAGCTTAAATTGATTATGTTGTTTGAAAATTTTAGCTCACTTTGTGTGTGTGTGTGTACTGATTTACTAGGCTTGCACGGAGTCAGGATTTTTCTATGTGATAAATCATGGAATCAGCCAGGAGTTCATGGATGAGGTGTTTGAGCAAAGCAAAAAGTTTTTTGAGTTGCCATTGAAGGAGAAAATGAAGCTCCTTAGAAACGAAAAACACCGGGGCTACACTCCTATGTTGGACGAACACTTGGACACTGTTAATCAAATTCACGGTTTGCATTTCTTATTTTCATATGTACAAATTTGCAATCAGATTTGAATTTTTGTTTTTTGCTTTACATTATTTCAAAATTTTATACTTGCATATGCCAGGATCTCCCAATACTAGCTAGAAATCGTGCCTAACCCACCCAAACGGGGTCACGGTTTTACTCAATATCACACTTATATATGTAGTACTCCGTATTAGACTCAAGTCTTGCAAATCCTTAGAAAAAGGAATGGTTTGAAAATGTTAAATGGAGGTAGAAGGGAAAATTGATCTGAGTCATGTGTATTGTGTAGTACATGTTTTTCCTAAAACAATATTTGCCCTCTCTAGAAATATGTGGATATGTTGAGCACAACAATATACCCACCGATGAGCTTTTTCAAAGTACAATACCTAGAAAAGGAGTAGCAGTCTCAATGTTGAAATCTACAAAAGAAAATGAATCTTGGTAGTTTTGGGGATAATGTGAAGCGAGTATATTTCTCTTTCAACCCCCAAGCACTACCACGCCCCAATGAGGATTTGATCAGGATGACAGGATGTACTGCATCAGCCCTTTCCATCTTCTGCAGTGCTCCCACCATCTATGTGTTGTTGATACATCCACAAAGATTGTGGTTGTGTGGCTCCACTGGTTTCCTATTCCATTCCAGACCAGCACTCTCTCCCTGCGCCCTTAACTGACTTATGAAACAGTCTCCCCATTTTTCCTTTGACGGGCTCGCCTTTCACTTGCTATGATTTATAAGCGATTTTGGAGTCCAAATGATATAATTATACTCTAGCGGCATTTTCAAACTTAGTTGTGATCTCCTAGGGTTGAAGAATTACTCACATTTTTCTTGTGAATTGTGATTGAAATTTTGGATTTTGACTTTGGATTTGGAGCAATAAATTGATTTGGTAATCAACTGAATAATTTTGTCATACATTACATGAAGATGTCTAGGCATAGACACCTAACTGAAATAATCTGTTACGTCAAAAGGCAATTTAAGATGGATATAAATTTTGAACTCTAAGTTTTGCGTATTAGTAACATATATACTCTCTTTCATTACATGCTTGTTCTTTTTTGGAGCTGGCAGTGGGAATATTAGTGCAGGGAATTTAGGATTATAGCCCAAATGCTCCGGCCTAGACTATGTGTTAATACCTTACCACAGAACTCCGGCAAAAGCATTTATTACATGACAAGGCAACACATGCTTCAATTGTACACCTGACCATGTTGCTCTTCTTCCACTCTCTGCTTCCTCCCAACTATACTCAGACTAAGGACAAACATGGAACAACTTTGGGCCACCACTTGTCTTGTCAGACGGAGCTCTGAAAAGATTTAAACCACTACACAAGATTATTGTTACTTTCTGAGATTGACCGATCCCCAAGGTTCTTGAACACAAAGAACTCCTAGCTCACTTAAAAGTGAAAACAAGTTCTACAAGCTATTGTTACTGTTTATGTGATTCATTAATCTTAAGTAGGGCCTTAAACACTCGGTACAAACCAATCCCTAAAGTATCTATCAAGCAACACAATGAAGTTACTGGGAATACTCCTTGGATCTAATGCTCCCTCAGCATCTAGCTATAAAAATTCTATCATGCGGAAGTATTGGAATGCATCTTGGCACACTTTGAAAATTGTCATTTGTTTTCCCATTGAAAATTTTTTCGTTCTCAAGCTACCTTCCAACCTTTTTCCCTTAAAAATCTCGTAGAACTAGATATGTTTTGAAGTTTGTCTTATATTTTGACTCAGGGGATTACAAGGAGGGGTATTATATAGGTATTGAACTACCCAAAGATGACCCTGAAGCGGAAAGACCATTTTATGGACCAAACAAATGGCCTGCTGAAGGTGATGCTCAGTCCAATATGCCATTTTCTCCTTCAAAACAAATTGTGGGCCTCAATGTCGATGAAGCCTTGGAAATATAAATTAGTTGACATATTTAGCTTGATTCATTCTTTGCAAGATATCTTGCCTGGATGGAGAGGCACTATGGAGAAGCATCACCAAGAGGCACTGTAAGCTCTGATATCCTTACCATGATCGGATTTTACAGTAGAAAGAGCAAGTTCTGTATAATATTTATGTTTAGTTGACTGTTTTAAACTTTAAAAAGGCACATTAAACATCCATTGCTTTTTACTTTCTATGAGATCTTCGGGAATAAATGCATCAAGGGATTGAAACAATCTCTCTGTTTATTACAGGGGTAAGACTGTGCAGATCTTGACTTTCAAACCACAATGGAGTTTGGATTATAGTATGCTGTTGTTGACAGTTAAAATTCACATATGCAATATTTTTTCTAACTGTTTTTTGCCAGTAATATATGGTATTCTCTCAAATTTTAAAATGTTCCATAACTAGGGGACTATACTGTTACCCACTTCCCCAAATGGTTCCTAGCATAACTAGGTTTCATTCTATTATGTCTATTTATTTGTTTTCCATATTTTATTAATTAAGTAAGGTGGCATTAGAGATAGCGAAGATCATAGCTCTTGCACTAGACATGGATGTTGATTTTTTTCTGCAGCCAGAATATCTTGGCAAACCTATAGCCACTCTTCGCCTGCTACATTATGAAGGTTGACACAAGTTTTCTGATGCTCAATGCAAGACAAATTGTGCTTATTCTTTGTTCCATATGGTTAATAATGTGTACACGCACTAAATGCAACAGGTAAATATTCTGACCCTGCTAAGGGAATTTTCGGAGCTGGTGCACATAGTGATTATGGTTTTATCACACTTTTAGCAACAGATGAAAACTATGGTCTTCAGGTATGTAAACTAGTGCAATTAAGGGCTTAAGATGGTTATTCACTTTCATTTTAAGTGAAATGAACTTGCAATTTTTTTTCGGGGGAGGGGAGGTTAAGGCACAATGCACGTGAAGTATGTGTCACAAAAGACTTGTACCCCTAACCAAATTTGAGACACAATAATACAACAACAACAAAGCCTTACCCATTAGGTGGGGTCGGCTACATGGATCAAACGACACTATTGTGCCCTATCAAGTCTTGAGACACAACAATACACTTGAATTATATGTTGGGGAATACTTATACCCTTAAATCAAATTTTAGGCACATCTTTTTGAACAATATAATACTCGTTCCATCCTAGAGTATTTGTCCAATTTTGACTTTTTATAGTCAATCAAGATCAACCTTTGACCTTTAATTAAATAAAAATTACCTCGTAGGATAAATACATATTTTGAAAATAAGAAAATCTAATTATATTATTTTTGTTTCAATATCTAAATAAATTTTACCCATAGTATTTAATTAATTGTCAAAGTTTATCAAATTTGACAGCAAAAAGTCAAAATTTGACAAATACTCTAAGGCGGAGGTAGTGCAAAAAATAAACCTTGAGATACAGATCATGTTTTTTATCCTACCATCAGTCCATCACCAAACAGTTTTTGTAATTTAAGAATTCACAAAAGCACCAAACTATTTTTAAGTTAATTATAATATATGCTTACAGTTTCTAGATATTCATCTTCCTATAAAGAAAACACTAGAAGCAGCACATATACTTTCACTGCATTTGGCAAGAAAAAAAAATTTACTGAGTTTAATCTTTAAAATAATACCCTCTCCATCCCATGATAAACTTCACCGATTTACTCTTGGGTGTGTCACAATCAACTACACTTTCCTTTTAGAGAAACAAATGTGTCATTCACATTTTTTCTATCCTCTTCGAATAAATCTCAACCAGCCACACAATTTTATTTTTTAAAAAATATTTGTAAAATAACTTTGCTTAGTTTCCGTGATAGAACATCAATGTTGTATGAAGTATATGTATAATGCATATCAAAAATTGAAAAGTGATTCATAGCTCAACTTGTAGAAATTAGTTCCAATGCACACGGAATGTAATTGGTGGTCTTGAGTTCAAGCCCCAAAGGTATTATATTTTTTCATTTCTCTTGTTTTCTTCATTCATTCCGTCATTCAACATACCTTCCATTCTTCTATATATAGAGTATGTGTTCCATAGTTAATCAAAGATAAGATTGTGTGCTGCATCATCATGTAGTTGATTGAGTTTTTTACTTAAGAATAATTGGTAATTGTTATTTATGCATTACTAATATTAATCTGATTAAATAGTAATATATAAAATTGTTAATAAACAAATAGGTGCTTAGTTTATTTGCCTAAGCTAACTAATTGGGGCTAAAGCGCCTGACCATCTAAGTCGCAGTAAAGGCACATGGATACCGCTTTGCTGCTACGTAGGTGTCTAGCCTTTTGTTAAACATTTGAACGCTGATCACTCACACAATGAAGTTTATATTTGGTCAGGGAGTAATAAAAATCATATAGGGCCCAATTTAGTACTGGGTTTGTATATTTGTGCGTTAACCTGGGAAAACAATGTATCTCAAAAATTGATTTTTGAGTATAATTTAACAAAACTATCACACTTCTTGTCCCACTTTAATATGCCACATTTTACAATAATATGTTCCCACCAAAGGTATTTTGTGCCCAAAAGTAGATTAGTGGTATGTGTTTTGTGGCATATTTGAGGGTATTTTTGCATCTTAACCCTTTAGTTTTGTCCAGATCTGCAAGGATAGGGAAGCTATTCCTCAGGTATGGGAGTATGTATTGCCATTGAAAGGGTAAGGAACTATCTTAAGATATGGCTCGTATGAAAAGAACCAAAGAAACAAAAACATATTCACTTCTTTCACAAGCAGTATTTTTGGTAAAGTATGCATTAAGTCTACATAGTATTACTAGTCTTTTCTTTGGGGTTATGTATTGTCCTGTTAAAATATTACATAAAATAACATGTCAAACCTCTTAAAATATAGCTATTGACTGTTCTAGAGACCTTTTACATTTTTTAAATTTGCTTTCTACTGACAGTGGATTCATAGTGAATATTGGTGATATGTTGGAGCGGTGGAGCAACCTTAAATTTAGGTAATTTAAAGTTTTTATTCATAGAACCTAGGTAGTCTTCACACCCCATGCGGACACCTCATCAATTGGTTCTCGGATGGACAAATACAAGGGTATATGGAGGGTTGAACTTTGATAACCGTTATACGGGAGTTACACCCCATGAGGTGGGCTCATTGTGGGCACATACACTCCTTATCACATAAGGGACTGCTGAGTCACCATGATTTAACCCTCCCCTCCTTTGTTGGGCCAGGGTGTGAAGGCCTTGGGGCATGGGATCTGCCTTGTAAGTGTATCAACACTTTTGTGTGGCTGTGCGTACTTCTATATGCATGTGTATACATACTCCAGTGAACCGTTATTTAGTTAAATACTGCACACCTCTCATTTGAATACGATCTCTTTTAAAGTGTAAAAACAAATTGTAATTTTTCAAAAAAGTTAGTTGTTGCCATAATTTGCATGTTACTTGCAAATCCCAAATCTCTCTATGTTTGCTGATTTTTTCCAGATCAACTTTGCATCGTGTACTCGGAAATGGTCAAGAAAGATATTCAGTAAGTCTTTCATTTGGTTAACATACAGTGGTAACTAGTAAGTGTATTCTCTATTCCTCCTCAAAAGAATGTCACTGTCCACTATACTATTCACGAGTGAAGTTTGATCTCTTTCTTTGCTTATTTTCATTGATCATTTGACAAAATAATAGTCATGTCGCACTTATTGTTTTGAAGATCTTTTGATGTAATTTTCAAATACATAATTTTTTTTATTTCTACTCTAAATTTAAATTAAGTTATATTAAAAACAATTTTTGTGCTGGATTGCTGTGAGTGGATTATAGCTCTGAGAGTAATTTTGAATCTGTCATAGATGTTTGATAGCCGATAGTTTTGATGATCATGCCTACTTTTGCTTTCAATGAGCAGATTCCATTTTTCTTGGAGCCTAGTCATGATTGTGTTGTGGAATGTCTACCAACTTGCCAATCAGAAGAAAATCCTCCCAAGTTTGTACTTGTGTCCCTATTTTACATTTGGTTTCCAACTGCAACAAGATGTGTTTTTCCTTTTAATCATATGTTACCAGTGTCGTCTCTTTGTCATCATCATAATGATAATCATAATCATATTCATCATCATCATCTTCGTCGTCATTCCAGTTGTAGCAGCAATGACAACAATCCAACAATTAAGCCTGTTTGATACCACAACTGTTTTTAAACTTTTCAGCCAATGTTTCTACAAAACATAAACTTCTTTGACAACATTACTTGAGTAGAAGAACAAAAATCAATATAATCTCTACTTTGTTGAGGCATGTGCTTTAGTTGATCGATAATTAAAATGACAGTTCTACCATCATCTTTTAGAGATTATTCCTTTAATATTTCAAGAAATGCATTAAGTTCATTTTTTGTTAAAGTCAACTCAATCAAAACATTCAACTAATGTCTAAACATTTCCAGAAATAGGCATAAACTTATTCAGATCTAAGGGTACTTCGAAATCTTTCATCAATCACAAGTTAACGTAAGACGTAAGTGCCATCTTTCCCAACAATTTTAGTATGAATGTGTTGCATTGTTGTGCTGCAGGTTTCCTCCAATAAAATGTGAAACATACTTACTCCAACGATACAGAGATACACACGCTGATTTGAACTCTTACAAATCAGAGTAAAGCACAAGAGGTGGTTTATGTCAGAGAATCATATACTCTAAGGTAATACTCCATAAACAATAATCTCTATTTGTTCTCTTGGAAGTTGCTGTGCCCTACTCTTTTAAACTTGGCTATGCTGCACTGTTACCAACCTTCCCTTGGAAAATCCAGTGAGGCAAAAACTTAGTCAATAACAAAATAAAACCGCATATTTTCCATCACCATGAGATTTAGCGCAATGCTTGAGGCGCTCCTTTAGTGAATAAAAGGTCACGGGTTAGAACAACTGCATAAGTTTCTACTCATTGCTTATTTCAAAAAGCTCTTACAATCCCGGTGTATGATAAACATCCAACTCATATCTTTGCTTATTATTTATTTACTTATTTCAAGAAGTTTGAATTCTATAAAACCAGAAACAAGAACCTACCTGCTTATTGCTTCTGCAAATTGCAAACACTACATGTCTTTGATGATAAACTTATTATTAAAGGAGACTTTATGTTATCTATTGTCACAGTATAGAAGTGTACATACTGTGTGGGAACATAGAGCAACTATGGAGCAAGCAATAAGATGTCTTTCCCACTCCTCACAAACATATATGGGTGCAATATTTTTAATAGCTGAGTATAGTGACTTTCTGAGTAGTTGTGTTACTTGTATGTAATGTTTATATTGGGCGCAAACTCGGTAACCTTTTGGTTATCGTTATACATTTCGTTGTGCCAAATCCAATAGTTACTTGAGTAAACAAAAACAAAGAATATATATATATATCACAGCTCAAAGCACTGTAATGCATACACTTCTGAGTTCTGACTTCAATGACGACCTTAACACATATACATCTCAGTACATTATTATTAACTCTTTTATATGGTTTTTGGTATTTCCTACCATCTAGATTTAAAGTATGTTCTCGAAATATACCTTTATAATTAAGTATTTTTCTAAACTGTAATTTCTAAGTAAATGTTTTCCGAAATGGAGTTCATGAGCCTACTCGGAGTGGGTCCGTTCCTATAGCAACCAACGACTAAATATGAAATAACTATTTTGAGGACTTGTTCATAATTTAAATGTTGGAAAATATCTTATTAGAAAAGAATGTTTTGGGAATTTACTCTAAAAAAGTAGAAGTGAAAATGTGCAATGCACCATAATAGGATTGGCAAAGTGTTTTGTGTAAAAATTTAAAAATGTCCTATTTGTGCAAATATTCCATATTTTAGTCTCATTTAAGATAATTTTCTCTTCTATTTCAAAACAAACTTAATTATACACCCACACCTCCCTTTGTCATTTACGAATCCAAGCCTAAACCCTTTTTTTAATTTAAAATTTACAAACAAAAAAGTCATTATCTCTTATGCAACAACTATTTCATGCATATCAACCAATTGTTTTTTTCGTCATTGTCGTTTTAAAAATTTAAATTCTAGAACTGAAATTCTATGGTTTTCAAATATCATTTGGAGTTTGAAACCACAGAATTTCAACAAATAATGGATTAGAAATATAGTCCCAAACACATTACTTTAGTGGAAATATTATGAGTAGAAAAGGTGAGTTTGTGAGTAGATAAAGAAACGAGTTCTGAAAAACAACAACAACAACCCAGTTAAATCCCACAAGAGTAGGGTCTGGGGAGGGTGTGTGTACGCAGACCTTGCCCCTACTCGAAAGTAGAGATGTTGTTTTCAAAGAGACCTCCGGCTCAACGTCGAAAGTTGCATTGCTTGACTAACTGCTACTTCATTAATTAAAGAAGCGCAGACAATTTAGAGATCCATTTTGATTTATTCTATCACACCCCAAAGCCAAAAAATGGTAAAATTTTGGCTCCATTGGAGATGATGGAAATAAGGGTTCTGAAAAAGAAAAATGAATAATAAGGGTTTCCTCATTCCTCACTACAACCAACTACCCCAACCGTTGAGAGACAAGTTAAAAGTTCTGTAATATTTACAGTAAGATATGAGTAGTCGTAAACTGAAATGAACTATTTATATCTTGATTTCTTATTATTTTACACAACATCTACTCTTTTCTATCTTCAAATCTTTCCAATCTTCGGAAAAATATACAAAAACTTTGTTTATTTTTAAAGACTAAAGCTACTTATATCCCAAAGTTGTACCCAACTTGTACTCCAAGGATTTACAATTTGATGAATTACACTAACACAAAATATCCGTGCTAAATTTTTGCAATCGCACTAACACAAAATATCTGTGCGAATTTTCACGATCACACTAGTTTATGTCAGCGTGAACCAAAAAAGTTTAAGTGTAAATCTTTGGGATAAATCTAACATGGTTGTTGATGGTGTAAATTCCACCGGATATGAGAAGTAGGTAACTGGGTCGGGTTAGGGAAGCCTAACCGGGTAAATAAAGATAAGCTTAATAGTAAAGAACACAACACAGAATTACCTGGACCGGGGCAAATCTCCCGAGTCCGAATATATTTCTTACTCCTTCTAGAGTGTACAGGATTTTATGGAAGTAGTAGTGAATGCCCTCTCCTCTCTCTATCACAGATTATTTATAGAGTAGAGGAAACTTAGTAGGTGCATGGAAGCTGCCTACTTAAGGACAAATAACCAGACAGCATCTATCACTGTGCAATCAGAATATGTTGATTGAATACAAATCTAGGATGGTGCCAAAGGACTTTACCACACTGATTTCTTGAGTGACGGGTGTGGGTCCCTCTATTGGTCTCCTAGATACTAGGATTTGGGGAAGGCGGATACGTCCGGGCGTGATCCATAGATCAAAGCTCAAAAGTGAGACCGGTCAAGTTGTACGGAGCCCAATGCTTCATTTCCTCAAGAGCTCAGGATAGTGACCGATCTCCCAATCCGGGGGGTGACCGGTCATCCACGACTCTTCTAAAATAGCTTCCAAGGTTTATCTTCGAGAATCAAAAGTGTGACCGGTCACCTATCTTCCGGGGGTGATCGGTCACCAAATGTCGCGCCCAAAAGTATCTCTAACGAACATCCTCGAAGACAAAGACCGTGACCGGTCACCTTTTTCCGGGGGTGACCGGTCACCTAACGCCGTGCCTTAAATACTCGATTTGCCAAGTCTGGATAAGTAGATCGTGACCGGTCACCTTTTTCCGGGGGTGACTGGTCACCAAAATGTCGCGCCCAAATGTCTGCACCGACCATCCCCGAAGACCAAGACCGTGACCGGTCACCTATCTTCCGGGGGTGACCGGTCACGCACCGCCGTACTCGAAATGCCATCTTGCTGAGGATGAATGTACAACCGTGACCGGTCACCTAAATCCGGGGGGATGACCGGTCACCTACCACCATTCTCCAAAGTAGCCGCCTAGTTGAGTCCGAAAAGAAGATCCGTGACCGGTCACCTTTAATCGGGGGTGATTGGTCACCCAGCGCCATGCTCCGAATAGCCGCCTAGTCGAATCCGGAGGATCCGAACCACCACTGGTCACCCGACCTCATGGTTGACACGTCACTTCAGTATCGACGAGTATACCTGGGTATGTAATATACCCATCAGTTGTTTTTTTCAAATATACAAAAACTTCTTCCTAAATTGTATTACATTTTTTGAGACATGCTTCTTAGTAACTTTTATTTGTTTGTGTATTGTTATTGATTATTTGATAAAAATAAATTTTCTTATTATCTCTTGTTTTTTAGAACTTTCAACATAGTTTTTTAATATGTAAATCTTATTAATTATTCTTATACCAAGTATTAAAGAAATTGATTGGAAAAGATGCAAGATTTTGTCTCATAAATGGAAAATTGTAATCCTATTAAGCATGGAAAGAGAGTATAACAATTCTAATGGAATGCAGCTTGGCGCACTTTGAAAATGGACTAATAATCCCTCGTGGTTTCAAAACTTGGAATGCAGCTTGGCACACTTTCAAAACTCCTCTACTTTCAAATTTTATTTATAAAGTCTATATGGTTTCTAAATAGAGCACACATGTCCCCCTTACCTATTTCTAAAGTAAAAATGACATTTATGCCCTTTTTTCCTCTATCTTGAATTTTCACAGTTTTATTTTCCTTTAGTATACAAATAAATAAAATAAAATATATACTTTCCATCTCAAATTAAATATTTTCAATTATGTATTTTTGAAAACAAAAGATTTTTTTTGGAGAATGTTACAAAATAAAATGGAAAATAAAATATTAAATACAAAGTAAAATTAATAATTAAGAAGGGAAAGAAAAGAAATAAAATATAAAAACAGTCTTTTTTTTTTTAACTCAATATTTTATTTCATCTTTCTCTTCTTCATTTTTTAAAGTCCTTAAAAAATTATTTTACTTTTAAAAAATAAATAAGTTAGAATTTTTAATTAGAGATAGAATGAGTATATGTTATCTAATTTTTTATTTTATTTATTTTACTTTTACTTATAATGAAAAATTATATTTTATTTCATTTTTTTTTCATTTTCTTTTGTAACATTTTCTAAAAAAATAATTTTTTTGAAAAATAAATAAATGAAAAATTTTAATTTGTGAAAGAAGGCATTTATTTTTATTTTATTTATTTGTATAATAAAAATGCAAATAGGGAAGAGGGGCGTCTGTGCACAATTTAAAAACCACAGGGATTTTTAAAAAGAACTTAGGAAAAATATAGGGGGTTTTAGCACCCCTTTTGTAAAGGGCGAGGAACACCCATGCTAATACCCCTTTGAAAATTGTCAACTTTTGTTTCCCCATACCATTGAACATTAGTTTCATCCTCTTCTAAGTTCCCTTTCAAATTCTGTTCCCTTAATCCAATTTGTTTTACCATATCATTGAAGTTTGGCCTACACTTTGACACAAGATCAGAGCATTCTTTTACTCAAGGAATACAAGGATAAACTAACTCCGGATTTCAAGCTGAGAGCAGCAATGTGTTTGAATGGAAGCTCCTCCATTTCATCAAACTCTGGACTAAATAACCACTCTCATCCTCGTTATCGTCATCGCAATCAAGGTCGGGGCCGTCCTTGTAAGCAAGGGACACCGTGACTTCCCCACCAAATACATCATCTTGTATGGTCTGGGCTTCCTTCCTAAACACTGCATCAAACACTAAATCTTTTTGCAAAACACACCATTTCCCATCATCACTACACAAGTTCAAAGAGAGGGAGATGGTTAATCTAGCCCTTTTGGATGCTACCACCACCGTTCCATCTAGAGGAAAAAAACCATCGGGGCCAACATGGACATGGTTTTCCAAAGATCGGGTGAACATTACAAACTCACTTTGTTCCCCGACAGTTTCCCTTGAGGCTTTGATACATCCATACACACGCATATTTTGAAGCCCATTAATACAAACCCGAGCCCAAGCAGCATCCGCTACTATCGCAAAAACCACACTCACAACTCCGCCATCACCTTCCAGTTCCTCTTCATAAAAACCCTCACCTTCCATGCTGCCAACCCTGCCTCTAGCAAAAACTCTCTCTGTTCGCCATCGCCACGGTCTTCAAAGGGCTTGATCCCAATGGTGATGCCATAGATTGGTTCAAGGGCAGAACAATGAGGACCTTTCAGTTTAAAATCCTCTCCCCTCCTCTTTTCTTCGCTTTCGGATGGTCCACGGCGATATAAGACTTGCATGACTCTATGGCAATAAGCAATCACCTTTCCATTGATTTTGGCACAAGTGGCTAGGTGTTTGATGTCCTTCACAGTTATACGCTCCACACTCGGGATGGGAGACCACGAATAAAGACCAAGGAGTTCTGATCTATGAACATGTGGGAGGAGGAGGAGATTGTGGTGAATCTTGGGACGCTTATCGCGGTGACCTTCTTCGACCTGCCAAAATCTCAACCAACCCATCACAACATGAGGGGGCATCCAATTTCGATAGCTATTCATAACAAATTCAGCTGAGTCTAAGTTGGACTAGGGCTTACCGCTCACTATCCTCCCTCACTACCTGCACTGCAAGCACCTAAAACAACAAGATTCTAAATTTCTCTTTAACAACAGCCTTTAGGAACAAACACATTGTTCACATTGAAAAAAATGTTCTTAGACTCTTCCATTAGAATTGATTTCTAACACCATTCGTTCGATTGGGACATTTAACCCCCGTAAACCCCTCAACTCCGGCCCCTCCCGGCCTTAACGCACCACGCACCTTCTTCAATTGTGCATCCGAACAATTTCTGTTAAATTGAAGAAGGTACGGGGTAATTACACAGACATACATACATACATACATACATACATACATACATACATACATACATACATACCGCTACAAAAGCTTTCTCATCAAAGATCCACATGAGGCACTTCTTATCAATGGAGGAATCAATCCCAACAAGCTTAAGAATGGGAAAGCAGCGAGGGGTGGGCTTCAACACATTTACCTCTTCAAGTGTCACACGCTGTAAAACCGCTTTCTTTTTAGGCAGCGGATCCATGTCCCTGGGATCGTTCGTTCTAGACACAGAGAACGCCTCGGCCTGGATTGATAAACAAAGGGAAGAAGAAAAGAAAACAGTGGTTACTCCTAACCCAAACCCCTTCAATTTTATCCCGAATTTAAAATTAAACAATTAACTTTAAAATCAACTAAATTTAGATCCTAAAATGTTATTCAATAATCATGTATTCTTCTAAATTAATCCTCAAAACTAACTAATTTTCAAAATGGTACTCGTTAATTAAAAATGATGTTCAGTTTAGTCCCTCGACTAACTTTCGTTAAAACGGCGTTAAAACGACATTAAACTTTATACTACTTGCTCAAAATAATATGCTTTCTAACTGGTGTTTTCTCAAAATAATATGCTTTCTACTTGCTCAAAATAATATGCTTTCTACTTGCTCAAAATAATATGCTTTCTAATTTGCTCCCCCCTAGCATGGGCGGAAACATGTTAAACTCTTATCGCTCTCAGTTTTAACATCAAAAGCGATGGTCTCTCATCAATATTTTTTACAATGGTTAAGATCTCCTCGTTTTGTTCGAATTACGGTTTTGAAAATGTACATATTTGAAAATGCACTCGAAAGAAATAATTATGAAAGTCTTTGCGAATGGTCGTATTGGCGTAGTCTTGATACTTTGGACGAAAATTTACATTGTAATTTTTTAAAAAAAAATTGAAAAAGGAAAATAAAATAAGCAAAAAATGTCTCATAGTATAAATACGACCATTCGCAAAGACTTTCGTAATTATTTCTTTCGAGTGCATTTTCAAATCTGTACATTTTCAAAACCGTAATTCGAACAAAACGAGGAGATCTTAACCATTGTAAAAAATATTGATGAGAGGCCATCGCTTTTGATGTTAAAACTGAGAGCGATAAGAGTTTAACATGTTTCCGCCCATGCTAGGGGGGAGTAAATCATTAGATGTTATTTTCACGACTCAAAGGTTAGTTCTTTCATTAATAAGAATCTTAAATACGTATACATTAATCCAAGTGGTTATCTCGAAGCCACATGGGTGAACACCAAAACTTACTTTTTTTTAAATTTTGAAAATTAAAAAATTAATTAAAATAAAATAGCAACACCAGTCAATCACCGGTCAACGGCGGCGGCCGGAGGCGGAGCATCGGCGGTGCCCAGAGTCCGGCGGCAGCGGCCGGAGTCTGGTTGAGGCGGCGGCGACCGGAGTCCGGCGGTGGCGGCCGGAGTCTGGAGGCGGCGACCGGTGGTGGCTGCCGGAGTCCGGCGACCGGCGGATGCCGGAGTCTGACGACGACGGCCGGCGGCAGGCGGCGGTCAATGCTGGCGATCAATAGTGAAAGTCCAGTTAATACCCCTTACTTTGATTTTATTTTTTTTTTTAAAAATACAAAATGTTGAAAAAATATGGTGAGCTTTGCCTTAGAGTTTGGTGAGCTTTGTAGTTGTCTTTGGTGAGCTTTGCAGTGGCCAGTGGTGAGCTTTGTGTCATCTGACTGAAGCATGTCATCTCACCGTAAGTTGTCATCTGACTAGAGTCAATCCCATATGTATATATGTGTGTGTGTGTGTGTGTGTATATATATATATATATATATATATATATATATATGGATTGAACTTTACAGTGAAATGACATGCTATCTCACCATTGGCCACTGCAAAGCTCACTAAAGACAACTACAAAACTCACCAAACTCTAAGGCAAAACTCACCATATTTTTTCAACACTTTGAATTTTTTTTGAAAAAATAAAATCAAAGGAAGGGGTGCTGACTAGATTTTAACCGCCACTTGTTGCCTGCCGCTGTCGGTCACCGCCGGCCGCTTCCGGTCCACCACCGCGCCGCCGCTGCTGCTGCTGACCGGTGTTGCTATTTTATTTTTAATTAATTTTTGAATTTTCAAAATTTAAAAAAAATGTGAGTTTTGGTGTTCAAAGTGGTGAGCTTTGCTTTATTTCCAGGTGAGTTTTGCATTGTCCATTGGTGATCTTTGTAGTTAGTGTGGTGAGCTTGCCGTCATCTCACTGAAGCATGTCATCCCACCGTAAGGTGTCATCTCACTACAGTCAGTCCCACACACACACACACACACACTTCGTATATCAATTTTCTATTGCTTATTTTTTCACACATGATTTTTTATGCAAAAACAAATGTACAAACAATTCAACTAATAATCAAGACAACAATTTTCACATAAACACATAATAAGGATTCAATGTTACCTCTTGGAGCAGTGACGTCACGAAGCTGTGGATGCCCTTTTCTCCTTCAAAAGTGTTCATTTACTTTTTTTTGTACCAAAATTAAACATTTCTTTTTTTTTGTTGCCAAGAATCATTTTTAAAACCACATGCTCTGACACCAAAATGTAACACCCCGACCTGCATAACCCGAACCAACGAGTTAGTAAATCGAGTTGCTACTAATTTGGTATTTCCATGCACGATATTTAAAAAACAAATAAAATTAAAACAAAATTCATACTTATTTAAAATCAAATCATGGTTTAATGAGAGTACATAAAACGAACATTGCGGTAGCCTTTAAAACAACATCGTCAAACACTTTTGTAGTTTAAACAACATAAAGTCAACAAGCATTTACATTTATTTCAAATAGCTTCAGGCCATCCACCAGCATCACGCTCCATCACTGTCCTCTAGGTTGTTTATCCAAACCTTGACTCCTACCTGTAAAAATAGAGAGAGTAGAAGTATCTAATGCTAGGACTAACTCATAGACTAGCACACATTAGCATATAATCATACAATATTGATTTGAAGACTTTTTGATGTATTTTTATATGGTAAAAGTGGTAATTTTTTTGTCTTTCCCGCAGAGGATAGATATAAGGGAATCAAGTACTTAGCCAATCAAGCACTAATTGAACTACTAATGATGGTGTAAATTTAACCGGGTATGTTTGACCAGATGCGACTTGGTCAAACTGACTCTACCAAACAAGTCAAACTCACCAAAAGTAAGAACACAGGAAATGACCTAGATCAGGAAAGAACTCCTGAGCCCGAAACTATATTTCTTACTCAATCTCATGCATAATATCCATACACCGGGCAAGCCACGCTCACCCCAAACCTAGTTTATTCTAATTAAAATAAACTATAAGCCTAAAATTATCAAATAATTTATAAAAATTTATTTTAAGACTTCTGAATATTCAGAATATTTAATTCTGAATTTTCAGAAATATGTATTTATTTCGATATTGGGATTTTAATTCGAAATAAATACTTATACCTTTTGAAAATTAATAAATAAATTCCAGAATATGGTTTGTGAGGATTCAATATTTTTAAAAAACGGGTATCATATCGTTAATATTCAAATAATTAGGTACGGTTTTGGCCTTACGCCAAAAATTCAGTTGGCACCATTTCGTTCTGGACCAAGATGGTACTATGTCATACTAATGTCAAATCATAGCATAATATTTCGACGCTTTTAAAATATTATATTCAAAAAATAAGTAATTTACCTAAATAGGACTAAAATATGATGACTTTCGCAATATAGGACCATATGTTTTTATTTCCCAATATAGGACCATTGGTCATTATCTATTAGTCATTATTCAACTAAATGTCCAGCATCACTTGAACATTATTCTTCTCACTAGTCATTATTAAGTCCTATTTAGGGAATAAAAAAGTTTAAGTCCTACATTAGGAAATGACTTATGTTTTAGTCCTATTCAGTGCAAATTTCACTTTAGTTATATTATTTTAGAAAACATAACTGTATTTTGATTTTTCAACAAATAGAAGTATAAGTTGAGTTGTACTCTAAGTCCAAGGTAATAAAGTGTGTACATAAAAAACATAAGTTTAAGTATCACCCCAAATAAATATGATTTAAATTTACTAAAAAAATTGAAATGTATAATAAATTTATTAATTTAATATTTTAGTGGTAACAATTCGATTTATATTTTAATTTTTATTTTTTGGAACCTGTCCCATATCATTTTGAAAATGATGGAGTTCGGTTCCAAATATATCTTAGGGTTAAACACTTGAAAACCTAATTTTCAATTTAATACATATGGTATTACATTAAGAAAGTCACTACATTTCAATAGTATTTAAGTAATTCCCCTTTGTTATACTCCATAATAACCAATCTCAAGCCATGGGGTGTGCTGAAGGGGAAAGGTGCAGGAAGGCCGAGAAATTCTCCCAATTTAAACGGTCCATTTTCACACACTTCCCATCCATTTCTTTTAAACACTATTTCTCTACTTTTAATATTTCTTTTAAATATTTCTCGCCACAATGTCATCTCCTTCTCTGATTCGATGTCGAATTCTTCTTCTTTGTCTTCTTCCGATGAAGCCAAAACTTTTTCCATAAATGTTATCATGGAGTCGGCAAAAACTTTATCTAATTAAGCCGAAATAGGTACTACTTAGGCGCTAAGAAAAAAATCAATGTTGCAACGAGATCGAAAAGGTATAACAATATAAATCTTATGTACATTTTATTTTTTAATCGTAATAAAACTTTTATTTGTTTACGTTTTTTTATAAATAATGCATACCATAAGCGGTCGCGACGGACTTGTAGCTGATTACTTTGCGGATGATCTGGTGTACACTGATGAAAAGTTTAGACGACGCTTTCGTATGAGTTGCAATCTTTTCCTCCGTATCGTTGAAGATTTGACACATGCAGATCCTTTTTTACTCTACAAGCAGATGACAGACATAAGTTAAGTTTTACTACCATACAAAAGTGCACCACGGTGATTCGACTAATGGCATACGACACATTCGCGGACGCACTTGATGATTATCTAAGAATGTCCTTGAGAATGGCCCATGAATGCTTGTACAAGTTTGCAAAATGGGTCATTAAGTTGTATAGCAAACAGTATTTATGGAGACCATCTCAAAAAGACGTTCATAAATTGTTCTCCACCTACGAAGCGAGAAATAGATTTCATGGCGTGCTTGGGAGTATTGATAGCTTCAACTGGGCTTGGTGTAATTGTCCTAACGCATGGCGTGATCGATTCACACGAGGAGATCACGCACATCCCACAATCATCCTAGAAGCTTTTGCCTTGCAAGATCTTTGGGTATGTCATGCTTTTTTTAGTGTTGCAGGTTCGAACAATGACTTAAACGTTATTGGTCAATCCGACATTTTCAATGAATACGTTCAAGGTACCGAACCAGATACTTCCTTCATAGTTTCGGAGGTGAAATACGAACATGAGTATTATGTTGCTGACATTATACACCCTGATTATTCGACTATCATGAAAACAACACTGTATCCTCATGATGAGAAAATAAAACAATTTGCCAAATACCAAGAATCGGCAAGAAAAGATGTTGAACGATTATTTGGAGTTCTACGATAGAGATGACATATTATCCAACACCCGGCTCGGGCATAGTCACCAAAAAATTAAGACGTGTTATGTATGTTTGTCTTATATTACATAACATGCATGATCCTCGAAGATGAAGGACATGCGATATGCAACTACGATCCGAATGACGTTCTTGAAAATGTTGAGCCAATGGATGCTGCACAACAAGACTTGAACTCATTTGCATTACGCAACCAGAATACGCACCTCCACCTACGCGCCGATTTGGTAGAGCATTTATGGAAATACGCCCCACCAATTGTATCTAATGATTAAGTTTCGAAGTTAATTCTTAGATATGAATTATGTTAAGGTTTTTATTCCAAATATGAATTGTATGCCAATATTTTTATTGTCTCAATTCCTATAATGTATCAATTTTATTATTATTTCTAATTTAGTTTAAATGTATAACTTTAAATGTTTGAAGTAAATTTTTATTGTTTTTGTGTTTTAGTTTAATTATATAAATTAAAATATGTGTTATAAAATAAAAGTAAAAATTGTTTTCAAAAAAAATAAAAAAAATAAAAGTAAAAATTGAAGGGGAAAAGGAGAAGAAAAACAGAACAAAGAGTAGAAACTTAAGTGACGTTGGAACCCTAGACAAATTTTAAGCAAAACTTCCCACTACTCCCAACACCATGCCAATGGCCAAACAGCTTAACAGCCAAGGACATGTCGACAACTAGGCTGAAATGTCCCATCTTTCTTTCTCCACCACCTTTCCCCTACTCAGCAGGCGATGATGATCATGACTCACAAAAGGCCGCCTTTCACTGCAGCAAGGACAACAAACCCAGAAAAGTGCTCTAATAATGATCATGAAACCCCCAATGTTAAGCTTCCCCATTTTATTGATTTCCAGGACTTCATAAGTTTCCAACTATTAGGAGTTTGAAAAGATATGAACTTTGTGGAAATGGACGCAGACCCATTTGCGGAGGAGCTTCTGCTTCCGCAGTCGGTGCTCGAAATCGTGGAGTCGCCGCTGCCGCCAGCGGTGGAGGCGTTGCTGCAGAAGATTTGCTCCGACCAGTCCCAGAAACCGCCGGACCTCTCCGTTAGGAGACGGCTGGCCGCCGTCGGAGAGGCAGCGGCTACGGAAATCTTGAGGAGAATTGCTGGTCGTTCCATCAAAAGAACATTAAGCGGGTTCATAATTTACATGCTGGATAGGTACCCGGATTGTCTGTGTGAAGAAATTAGAAGCCCAGTTGTTCCCGCACCAGTGAAATCTGTGGATGAAAGAAGTCCAAAGAAATGTGTTGAGTTTAGGAGCCCCATTTCCACACCTATGAAATTAGAAGATAGCAAGACCCCCATATCCACAGCTGGGAATAAACGGCAGGGCAGCTTGTTACGCTATTATGCTCCAGGTCTTCTGTTCTCTTTCGTAGAAGTTTTGTATGGATTTCAAGGGTGAAGTTTTGAATCAGAAAAATTAAACAGCCCGTGGGTGTTGTTTTAGTATAGAGTATTTTGGTAAGTAAAGGTGTTTAAGGTTTGTTGTATGTCTCAGATACTCCGGGGAGTTCAGAAGGGCCGAGTCGCCGGAAGGCTATGCGCCCGCTATCATTTTGTGGGTTCAATGAGAGTGTGAACGGTGTGGTGATCAGCGAACAGTTAAGATTGCTAAGTCAACTTGAATTTCGGAAGTTGTTTCTAATATTGAGCTACATTGGGAGGTTAGTGACTTCTTTTCGACATATTTATAGTTCATTCAGTTCAGCACATAAATTATTCAAATATTTGAAGTACTAAATCATTCAAATTTCAGTTTGATTTAGTTCATTAATTTTCATTCGGATTTCACTAGTATGATGGCATGATGTCATATGAATTGGAATATTGGATATTGCTTTCAGAAAGAAGCTGGAAGACGTTATATCTCCAGTTGCAGCAATGGATATTTTGAAACTCAAAAATCAACCTATGACACAATTCGAATCATATATGTGGAATGCCTATGGACATGAAAGTTTTGTTGGATCCGAAAGACCTAAGGTAAACATCACTTCAGATGATCTTCACTTTCTTTTCTTATGTGTATGCACTCCATCAGCTTTTTACATCTTTAGTTAGAAATTACTGCTAGTTCTTCATTTTGTTTGAGTGAAACGAATATCATAAATAATGATCATTTCAAGGCTGTCTAGAAGTGCATTGCTCTATTGGCCGGAGGAGACTGTTCAAATGAATGCATACTATATATGCATATTATTTCTTTTCATCAATACTCAAATTCTCGACGAATATGTTTTTTTGGTGCTTATATTTCAGTATTTGGACTGGGACTCCGGTAGAACGTATATGTACTATTGTGACGTTGACCAAAGAGGACAATGCACTTTTAAGGTTTGTGATTCAACTGGTTTATCTTATTCAAGCTTAAGGTCTGGGGGGGGGGCAAGATGTATGTCTACCTTATAATTACTTGGTGTCTTCCTTTTACCCAGGGGCCACTTCTGGATACAACAAGAACACATTTACAGAGGGCTCTGGGGGATGAGAATGTATTGTGTGTCAAATTTGCTTCAGAAAATGAATGTTGTGCTAAGATAGTTGCAGATGAAGGAATACTTGTGGGCGTGAGGCGCTACCGTTTTTTTGGTAAACTAATAAAAATATTCATTGGATTAAGCAATCTTTCATAAACCGCTCGAGTTTTTGTTTGTTATTTACTGAGTAAATTAATAAACGACACATTCCTTTCATATACTGCTCAAAATATCATCCATGCCTTTCATAAAAGGGCATGAGAAGATAAATCTGAGATGGGCAAAAAAGGAAATTGGGAACAGATGGAGTATTGGTTTATCCTGTTTTGGGTTTGCAGTATATAAAGAAGACAAGGAGAAGAGGAAGAAGAGCCTAGAAGAAACAAAGAAAACACCAGCTTGTTTAAAATGCTACTTTGTTCGGTTTGATTCAATTGGACCACACAATGATATGTCATATACCTTTTCCACAAAAAAGATCAATGAAGCAAGGTCACATTTCATGCATGTACACACAACTGCTAGTATGTCAAAGTACATAGCAAGGTTGTTTCTAAAAACACTTTCATTTAAAAGAGATATGCATTTCATTTGTCCCAATAAAGTAGTGTCTGAACTTCATTTTGTGTGCAGGTTTTCGTTGATTCTCTCTAAGACAATAAAATTTCCGGTTAATCTTGCTGAGGTGAATGTTCAAGATATTGAAGATATACCGTGCCGTGTAATATGCTTATTTCTCTTTCAATTCATATCTTGTCGTCTTGTTTGTAGTATCAGTTGCATGCTGTCTTTCCTTTTGTCCATATTAAAGGTAATACTTTCTCTTCAAAGACTTTCCATACTAATTTTGTAGGATGAAAATGGTCGTGTTGTCCTTGATGAAGATGGAGAACCCCGCATACACACGGATGGAACTGGATTTATTTCTGAAGATTTAGCCCTGAGATGTCCCAAAGAATTTTGCAGCGCAAGATTGATTAGGGACGGAAATTTCGAGGTAAAGACAGTTATAATTTCTTTTCTTCCTTCAAGGTTTCCTTCAATGTATTCTTGTACTAGAGCTGCTTACTTTTGTCTTGTAATAAAATAACTTGCAGCAATTTCATGATTTTACTGAGCTCGATGACAGAAATTTGCAAGGAACAAGTTCTTGGAATAGAGAAGCGGTAAATGCTGATATTATGAGCTTTTGTTTCCAACATTTTCTACCTTTCTCCACTTACTAGTGGGTAATAATGCACTAAACTTGCTGTTGAATAAATGCGCAGCTAAATAGAAAAGTAAATATAATTTGAAATCATATATGTGTCAATGTTAGTATACAATGCATATATACTTCTAGAATACTTGATGACTTAAATTAGAAGAAAAACCAAAATGAATCAGGATAAAATTGGCAAGAACATGAAAATCTGCAAGGAATTAAGGGTCCGTTTGGAAAGGAAGAAAATGAGTTATGGAAAATGACTTATGGAAAATGAATCATTTTCCAAAAGTCGTTTTCTTCTCATTTTGTTTTCTCAGTGTTTGGCTACCGAAAATAGGTTTGAAACCTAAATGAAAATTGGGCTACGAAGTACGAAGAAAGAACGACAAAGCCAGTTTGGGGAGGAAAATCAAGAAACTTGCCTCATCTCCCACTTGCAAAGGTGGAGGTGTGGATAATGAGCTATTTGCCTTTGGAATTAGCAAGAAAACCAAAAAAAATTGAGTTTGCAGTGAGTGCCACATGTGTGGCGGAGTCTGGGCGATAATTAAGGTGCAGCTGCAACCACGCAAATGGCCAAAGGCGATGTGGCGGCGAGCTATTTCATTGTGCGATGGAGGAAACTGAATGCCAGAAAACGACTTCTGTGAAAAAAAATCCGAAAGTCAAATTCCATAATTTAGGCCTCATTTTCCAGTTGACCCTCTCCCATTTTCCTTTGACCTTTTTACCAAACACCTGAAAATGGGGAAAATTACTTCCAGAAGTCATTTCCCCCCTTTCCAAACGGACTCTACATTTAATGCCCAAGTTTAGCAACACAAGATTTTTTGTTCCTTTCATGGCCTTGCCTTAACATGGAAACTTAATAAAAAAGGATAAAATTTGAAGGATCATAAAATGATTGGTGAAAGGTCAGCATACTGTACACATTATTGTGCAAGATATAGAAATTGTTAGATTTGTGTCATTTCCGTACTCTCATTTGATAACAGTCTTCTTTTTCTTTTTCTTTTTTTTTTTGTAAATTCTGCCTTACATTGGAAGCCGCTGCTAATGCAAGTTCGTCTGTTTAACAATGGGCGTGCCGTCAAAGGGACTCTTTTAATTAACAAACAGGTAATTCCTCATTTGTCATAATACACAAATTTTAGGAGTTGATAAGCATTCTTGCAACATAATCTGTTCTTAGGGGCGTTCCACCACCCTTTTGCTGCTAGATTGAACTGTTGAAGTGATTTATCACTGAGTGACATTAAACTCATTTACCGACTCTAAACGTGACCCCTTCAAGTCAACTTTTTTACCAACTTCTCCAATAATTTTTTTCATCAATTCAACTCATTTCTTTCTCCCCATTAAATAACTCTACACAATTACATATCACATTCTTTATTTACGTGCAAATAAAACAATGCAAACCATTTAGGAACAGGAGTATTAGCTATCCCCCTCTCTTCTCTAAGTATTTCATTAGAAGCTCTCATCCAGGAACGGTATATGCTTTACTGCATTCAAGAAGAAGTAGGTTTTCTACTATATCAGCTCTCTCTGCCCTTTCGTATCATAGTGTATTTTGTTCTTTTTCATGTCGCAGATTGGGCCAGGGAAAATTCAGGTTAGACCTTCAATGATAAAAGTCGAGAAAGATCCAAGACTTTTGGCTACGTCCACGTTTAACTCATTAGAGATAGTTGCAATTAGGTATTCCTCTCATCAAGATTACTTCCATGTGTCAACTCTCAAATATTCATATATGCCTGTGATAAAGATGAATAAAATACTTTAGAGAATCTTGTCCTAGGCTTTTATTTTATGTGAAATGTTATCACATATGATACACAAATCTTCTTATCATTTTTTAGCACTAGACAGCTGCAGTTCCCTAATTATTAAAATATTTGTTTTTATTTTCTACCTAACAGTTAACCGATGTCATAAACACAACATTTGCATATTTGATCATATGAAGAAGCATTTGTTTTAAAATTTACATCATTGCTTCAAGAAATTTCCTATTTCACTAATTAACGGTTGATGTACCTTTTTTCAGCCACAAACCAAGGAGGTCTTATTTGTCAAAATATTTGATTGCTCTGTTGAGCTACGGAGGAGTCCCTGAAGAGTATTTTTTGTCTATAATGGAAGGTGCTTTGGAAGAGACAAAAACCATATACACCAACAGAAGAGCAGCACTTAAAGGTAACCGCTGTCTCCAAAAGTCTTCATAAAGGTTGTGTGCTCTGTAAAGTTTATCTTGGAATGGGCAAAAAGGAATAGCATAAAGTTCATAATGGGACAAGGGGAGCATTAATGTATTATACACACTAGAACTCTAGATTTTTTAGTGAGAAAAATAAAATAAATTTCATAAAATGGTTCTCAATCAAGATTAAGACAAGAATAAAAAGGATTGATATTTGTTTTGCTGTCTTTTTTTCAAGCAGCCGCTGTGAAATATGGAGAAATGGATTATGAGTTCACAACAGCTAAGATTATCTCATCTGGGGTGCCATTGAATGAACCTTATGTCCATTCTTGTTTATCCAGACTGGCAAACATGGAAAAAGACCAGATTAGAAGAGGAAAACTTCCAATAGCAAACAGTTATTACCTAATGGGAACAGCTGATCCTACTGGGATGTTAAACAGTGATGAAGTTTGTATTATCCTGTAAGTAACGGAGAATAAATATAGTATGCGTTATATGATTTCCAGTCAAGTTAATTCACGGCTTTTGTTAATCAATATATGTACAGTGAGAATGGTCATGTTACTGGGAAGGTGTTGGTGTACAAAAGTCCGGGTCTTCACTTTGGGGATATACACATCATGACTGCTAGATATGTACAAGAACTGGACCATATTGTTGGTAATGCTAAATATGCAATCTTCTTCTCAACAAAAGGACCAAGATCAATTGCTAATGAAATTGCAAGTAGTGATTTTGATGGTGACATGTATTGGGTTTCAATGAATCCTCAGGTTGAGCGTAATTTTTCTCTAAAATTCAATTTCTCGCATGTTTAAATAATTATATTAATTTATCCATTTCGGAATTACAGCTATTGAATTACTATAAGGCAAGTGAACCGTGGAGTCCTCTCTATGTAATGCCAAAAGCAGTTGGTAGAAGGCCCTCTGAGTTTACACCTAATGAGTTGGAGTATGAACTTCTCCGAACATTCTTAGAAGGAAAGAAATCAGGGTATGTTTCATTGTTTCTCATAACTTGCATTTCACATTTTTGCAGTGTCGACATACATAGAAAATTCAAGTTTTTTTAACGTTCTTCGAAACTGAACATTTTACATAGTGACCTATTTCTCAAATTTATTCATGCTTCTCTGCTCTTTCAGCAACAATATGGCACTGGCAGCAGATAGTTGGCTAGCATGTATGGATCGGTTTTTGACATTGGGCAATAGTTTTACTCAGGAGAAGGTTGATTTGAGAAGAAAGATGCTTCACTTAATTGACCTGTACTATGAAGCATTAGATGCATCCAAAACTGGAAAGAAGGTTAAGTTTCTTGATCCTTTTTTCGGCATGATTATGATATACTTTGTACTAATTTAGTATCCAGCTATCTCCGGAGATGTAGTGCCTTACATTGCAGCTTTTGGTCTACTCATTTTGATGATGTCATTTGTTACTAATAAAGAGCATCTTTATTTTTGGCCCACTCATTTTTAACCATTTTAAGAAATGACTCAATAAAATGGCCAAATGGGATGCCCCAAAATGGAAAATAGGACAACATCTTTGGGTTGGGGGGGAATATAATATTTCACACTTGTTTTTCCATCTTTGGTTTGGGGGGAATATAATCTTTCATTTGAAGATCAGTTTCAGACCTTTTTTTACTGCTTATGAGATAGGTCAACATCCCTCCAGAGTTGAAGCCAGAAAAGTATCCACATTACATGGAGAGGATACCTAGTTACGACTCTACATCTGTTCTTGGTAAACTTTACAACTACAGAGAATCATCCAAGGCTGAAGAAAGTACTCGAATCGGTGAGTCTTGTTATTATGATTAGAATTATGATAAATATGGCATTCATTTCTTTGTTGGATTTTGCCATTCCAAGGAGCTAGGGACACTTGGCTGCGCATCAACACATTTATTTTTCAATCCATTTCTCTCTAAGCTTTTGACAAAAAAGAGGCAGTTTCATCGCTCAAATATGTATATAGGATCGTCATTATCATTATCATTATCATTATTATTATTATTATTATTATTTGCAGAGATTGGAAAACTGCCATGTTTTGATGTTGAAGTTCCGGATGCGTGTTTGGTCCTTTGGGGAGAAAGGTATCACAAACACTATTTACCAGAAATGACAGAAGCCATGGGCTGTGGACCTTGTGGCTCTGAAGTAAGAAATGGTGCTGCAAATGATGTAATCAAGAAATACAAGCAGGTTATTTATAGTTTCTATGTTCATAACAGCTAATTTCATGAAAGTATATATTCTTTAAATTAATTTCAAAATGCGCTTATTGGATACTATAAATATATATTCTTTAACTTAACAATGCAGTTGCTGTACGACGCTTCTGACTTCGAAGACAGCGCGAGAAAGATTGATGAAATCTTCAACGAAGCGTTGGCAATTTATAACGTGTGTTATGATTATGCAAAGAGGTTTAATGATGTGAAGAAATGCAGCTTTGCATGGAGAGTAGCTGGTTCTGCACTTTGCAAATATCATGCACTTAAGCAAAAGGGAAGACCCTTTCTCATTTTACCATCCATTTTGCAGGATATTTTGTGATGGTCAAGCATGGGGTATTTATTCTACTTTGGATATGGTAGATTTCATTTTACTTTTAGGTTCGGTTTGGCACACGGAATTGATAAAATTGGAATTGAATTGAGGGTTGGAAATTCTCTGGAATTGATTTAGATGGAATGGAATTCTCCAATTCCAATACATTTTTGGCACTACCAATTCCAAATCCACATATTTTTGTAAATTGAAATTGTTGTTTCCAATTCCAATTCCATCATTTGAATTCTGTATACCAAACGAACATTTACTGTACTTTAATGTAATTGTATAATTAATTGTAAAATGCTAATATGTAGCCATGTAGGTTGATATCGACTGTAAAATACCAAGCTGTAGGTTAACAGATGCAAGGGTTAATAATAATGCATGTTAAGGTTGCGTTCTCTTCAAATGATCTTATCTGATTTGAATTTTTTAAGACTAGTCTAATCTGATCTGAGTGGATCTTTTCTGAATAGATCTGATCTGAATGTATCTGATCTGAATAGATCTAATCTGAATGAGTTTAATTCATTTTCAAACAATTGGAGTAATAATAATAATTTAGTATTAATTTGTTTATTATTTTTAAATAATATTTACAATAATAATTTGTATTATTAATAAGTATAATACGGAGTAGTAATTATTCATTAATAATATTATTATCATTATTATTTTAATAGTTATATTTATTATAATAACTATAATTAAAATACAACAAGGTTTGGTTGACACTGTCATCTTGTGTCAACAGATGACACTCATTTCGAGCCCCTCTGGTATTCCAAATGAAAAATTGATAGTTTCTACATTCCAGTCTCACCTCTGCACCCCCACACTAGATCCCCCATTTATCCCTCCAAATATGTGTCTATTATACATTGCATAATAGTTGTACATTTGGAGGGGGTAAAAGGGGTTCTAGGGAGGGTGCGGGGCTAGAACTGGGGTGGGGGTACGTGGGGGTTATGGAGTAGGAACCAGAAACGGAGCGCTGGAGATGCTCGAAATAGGCAAGTATCATCCGTTGACACTAGATGATAGTGTCAACGCCTTATATTTACAAATAAAAATTGTCATTAATTGTTATTATCATTATTATTAATTATCATCATTGAATAATGATTATTATCATTTTAATCATTATTACTACCTCCGTCCCATTGTCTTTGTCCACTTTTGACTTTTGGAACTGTTCATCTAAGCACTTCGACTCATCAAATTCTCTCAATGTGTAAGCCTAAAAATAGTCATGTGTGATCTTGTTTGATTCGTCTTAACATATAGATTATTAATATATAATTTCTATAATTTTTTAATATACAAATTACAAGATAAAATGGATTAAAGAAGTGCATTGGATGGTGTGCCAAAAGGTAAGTGGACAAAGACAGTGGGACGGAGAGAGTATTAATTAATATTATTGTTTTTTATTAAGTATGATGATAATAAATTAATATTATTTTTATTTTGTCCAAATCTACTCCATTTGTATTAAATTCACACTTTTACTTTTAAAAATACAAACGAGGAAATCTAGATGTAAAACAATCTTGAACGGCAAATTGTGAATTTAACATGTATGAAGTGGCTTTAACTATTAATGGACTACACTGTTATTTCCCTTGCAGCCTTGCTGATCGAAGAGGAAGTTGAAGAGATAGGTGGAGAGCCTAACGAAAAAGAAGAGAAATTTCTATAAAAAAAAGTCACAAACTTAATATTTGTGAATTTCTATAAAAAAAACTTTAAATGGTTTAGAGTAATTTTAAAATGAAAATTTAAACCATAAATGGTAAGTTTGTGAAGTTTGTGGTCATTCTGTTTGTTAACGTATTCTACATATCAAAGATTAACTATTTTTAAAACCTATTCCACATATCAAAATATGATTCTCTATTATTCCTTTTTTATCCATGCATTTTAAAAACAAAAAATAAATTAATGAAAGTTTATTAATAATTAAGGCACTCAATGTCTGCATACAAATATTTAAAATTCAAATACTACGTATGAATTTAAAATAATATCCAGTCTTCTTTTTTCGGCACTCTAAGTGTGGGCTGTTTTCTAAAACCACTTCCACAGGTTTGGTTGATTCCGAAATGGCACACACAGTCAAGATTAGGGTTTTGATATTCTTATAATTCCTTGTTATGATTCATATTTTGAAGACATGATCTGCAGGCAGAAGGTTTCAGCTCCTTTTAATACTTTTTATACTGTCTTAAAAAGAAAAGATGAGGGGGTCATATATGGAAACTCTTGTCATGGGATGACCCGAAACCGCTACGGTATCTCTCGTTCATAAAACTGACGGTTTCTACCTCTCTAACCCCTCAATAGACCCCCACCCCACCCGACACAAGAATACCCCACCACCCCTTTCAATTGCACCCACCAAATTAATTTTGACTTTATAGTGAAAATTAATTTGGAGTGCAATTGAAAGGGGTGTGAGGGGTGCTCGGGTCGGGGTGCATTGGGATGAAGGGTTTACCGGGAGAGTTAGAGAGATGAATCGTCAATTTTACAAATGAGGCACCGTAACAGCCCAGGTCATCCCATGACATTGTCGGACAATGTAACATGAATCGTTTTCTATATCTAAAATAAATAAACAGGAAAAAAACAAGTGAGACGACCTAAACAATAGCAATAAAGATATTGAATTGAAATTAAAAATAAGTTGAAAAGGTCATAAGTTAAATACTTCTTTTGTCCTAAAAAATGTCGAAAGAATAAAAAATGTAGGGAGTATTTAAAGATAGATTATGCAGAAAAAAATGTCAATAGTCTCACTTCATAATATTTTTTAATTCTCCCCTCGACTCAGTAACATTTTTTACTTTTACGGAGTTTAAAATATATAATTTTTTGATTAAAATTTGTTTAAATTGGAGTGAAGGATGTGAACGACTCATTTATTTCTTTAAAAAAAGAATTTTTTTAGAGGAACAAAAAAAAAATTAAAAAAACAATTATCCTAAAAATAATAATTTTAAGCCACATCATTAAAGAAAATTACATTGTTCAAATACATGATGTATTAGGGCATCTCCAATGCAAGGAGTTTCCAAAATTTTTTCAGATTCTATCACATCAACGTTAGTTTTAGTATTTTAGATTCTTTTTCAAACTTCAGAAAAACCCCAATATCCATACTCTTTCATATTTTGTCACATCAACATTCAACTATCTTTTATTCTATTAACTTCTATTTCAATTTTAAAAAAATTTATTTTAGATTATATTATACATTGATTTTTCTACCAAATTTATTTGTAAAATAATGAACCATTAAAAAAATCAACAACATAAATCCGAGAAAGTTATATATAATTAGCACACATGAAATACATAAAATAAAATGAGTACATTTCATTACAATTATTTAAGTAAACACATATAAAAATAAATTCCATAAAATTAATTTAAAAGTATAACAAATTAAAATTAAATAAGTAGACATAATTAAAATATGTAATAGCTTTGTTATGGTTGATCCTTAAGAGAATGCCAAACATCAAAAAATTCAAATATAAACTTGCAGAAAATAAAAATTATATAAAATAAAAATTAAAGAAAATAAAATTATATATGTAGGCATAATTAACGATTGAGTTCTTTTCCAGTTAGGGAGGATTGATTTTTTTTATTACAAAATAATTGTAACTAATAAATACTCCCTCCGTCCTAAAACATTCTTCACAACTTCTATTCACATGGCCAAACTTTAATCAGTTTCTTTACCTATTTTTGTTAGTTATTTGATAAAAATAATAGTCTTGTCACCTCTTTTTTTGTAGAATTTTTTATGTAAGTTTTAAATATATAAATTTTATTTTTTAATTTTACACCTACAATCAAATAAATTGAAAATAAAGTCGATCAAATCTCGTAAACAGAAACAGGAAGAACGCTTTAGGACGGAAGATGATGGATGCCTAATATTTTTCCTAGAACTGTAGATCGGTCCAGGTCCAAATATTAGTATCCGGGCCTTATAATAATGAGAAAACAATACAAGAATAGTAATGGACTGTAATGAAAAGTATTGCTCACAGAATAGGGACTCAAATCGGTGATCCTTTCCTCTATTCGGTCCACTTAGGGATCGGAATGTACTCAAGGATCACCGGAATATCTCTTATTATTACTCAAGTATTTTCTCTCTCTATTGCAAGATATATTTCCTCTCTTAGTTCATTCCTCTTTTATAGGAGCTCCCCATCCACCATCTCATCAAAATATTCGTGGTGGTTGGGGAGGATATCCAAGCAATCCTCACTTTTCCTAGAGGCATGCTCCTCAGCTTAACGCCGTCCACTTGAGGACAAATCTGTCCGTCCATATCTTATTTTATGTCTTTCGTCCGTCCCTTACTCATTGTCTCCGTCCTCCCTCAAGAGGGTGGCTTACCCTAATTCCTCTGTAGGGCTCCTTCCTCTTGGATGGCCTGTTCATAATGCGCTGGGGTTCAGCCCATCCTTAGGCCCCAATCCTATCTCCTGGACCGTTTCTATTGGCCAGCCCAGTATACTTTCTCTGGGCCGGATTATCCTTATGATGGACGGAACCTAAATTGGGCCAAGGCCCAATTTACTAGTATTCTCTCTATGGGCTTGGTTCCCATCAGAAGAAGTATTTTCAAAAAAAGTTGTAATTGCTTACACATATCTGATTTTTAATAGAGAAATTGAGTTAGGAGTCTTGGGAGTGAGTGTGAGAATTAAGAAACTCCTTCTAGACTTTCCTCAATTTCTTTGCACTCTGAAAGTAAAATTTGAAAAATAAACAGTGTTAAACCCTCTCAAGACCAACATTTGAAGTGCCCTTAGGATCTTTATAATACACTCCCTCCATTCCGAATTGGATGCCATTGTCACAATTACGACTTCTTGATAACTTTTGTTTGATTGTATATATTCATTAATAATTTTTTATGGGTGTATTCCACCCAGGACTCGGTTTGAATCCGTGTCCACAGTAGTTGTCTTGTCAAATGCAAGTATATCAGAATGGAAGATTTAAACAAGAATACAGACGACCAGTCAGATTCAAGAAGTCGGCCGGTACGATATGTAGACTTACCGGTCAGAGACTCATGACTGGACCAGAACCAACCTAATTCAAGAGACAACTAGGAGAGTCAATCTACGGTAGGAGACTCAGCTGAAGGCAGGGATGTAGCCAGAAAAAGGGGATCGTGCCATGGACGGATTAGACTTCCTTTGATTGTGAATTACCTTAACTGCTCAAGAAACCATGTATAAATAGAGGGGACCCGAATGCGAATCCTCAAGCTGAATCAAGCTAATAATACACACACTTCTCGAGTTCTTGTTCTTATTTACTTCTTGTGATCCATTCTTCTGAATTGGATCATACGCCGGATTTATTGTCCATAAAATTGGTGCTCTCGTTGAGAGCTCGAGAATCATACTCAAGAAAAACCTTCCAAGAGAACAATGGTGCAAACTCATAGCAACGCAAACCTGGGTACCAGAATTCCCCTCCAGGGCGAGAATAGTGCCACCGGAGGTCGGCACCCTCCCATTAGTGTGCTAGAGGTGGATGCTCTCATCTAGAGGGTCGGGATCACCGTAGAGCAGTTTAAGGAGGTGATGGCAGCCCTGACCCCGAACCGCGAGGTTGTGGTGGAGGATGCGACCGGGGAACCATCCGGAGGGAAGGCGGGACCTGCGGGCTTGGGGGGAAAAAAGAAGAAGAAGATCTGGCGGTCTCAAAAGAAGAAGGCGACCCAGCCTAACGGAAAGGCAATAATGGAGGATGAACTGTCCAGGTTGGGTGAAGAGGATGAGTAGTCCTCCTTTGAGCGGGCGTCAGCCTTCGATCGGTTGGGAGATCCCAAACTGAAGAAGCCCCGGACCTCGGCATTCGATCGGCTACAAGATACTTGGTCGGCTCGGAAGGGTGACCTGAGAGAAAAGCTCAAGGAGAGGAGAGTCCTCAGCAACATCCAAAGTCGGCTCGGAGGAGCGACGTAAGGCGATTGAAGACAAGGAGGTGATCGAGTTGTGGAGGATGTATGATTGCCTGGAGAAGCAGTTGGACGCCCAAAACCCGTACCGACAGGCGGTCTGTCAGTGAGGTAACCCCCTTTTCTAGAAGGGTGATGTCGTTTCCTCTCCCGGACAACTTTAAGACCCCACAAATCAAGGCATACAACGGGACGACTGATCCCCAAGACCATCTGGCTCGCTTCGGGGCGAACGTGGTTATGTACGCCTACCCTGAGGAGATCAAATGCCGAAGCTTCCTAGCAACGCTAGAAGGACAAACCTGTAAGTGGTTCCATAAGTTGCCCAAAGAGTCGATCGACAAGTGGAGTGACTTGGCCCACAAGTTTTTGGAGCACTTTGCGTCCAGCCGGAGGTAGAAGCTCCCATTCTCATACTTGCTTAATGTGAAAATCTAGAAGGGAGAGCAACTCTCGGAATTTATCAATAGGTGGGAGGAGGCTAGGGACGTCCAGGGGACGGATGACCAAGCCTTGATCGCGATGCTCCAAGCGGCACTCCCTCAGGAGATGTGCGCAAGGAACTGCGGCGGAATCCACTCTCTACCTATCAGGAAATGCTGGCCTGGGCGAAGTACCTGGCATTAGAAGAAGGATACGACGAGCCGCCCATACGGAAGAGAAGAAAAGCGGACAGCTGACAGGAGAAGGAAGAAAGAGGAAAGATTTTGGTAGGGGACCGAACCCTACAGGATATCATGCGAGCAAACCGCCTATTCACACGGTTCATTCCTTACCAGCCCCTCCCTGCAGTCGGGAAAGTTATAACGTCCAAGACGCGCCCAAGTACTGCGAGTACCATCGTAATAGCACCCACAATACGTTGGAGTGCATTACACTGAAGAAGGAAATGGACCAGCTGATCGCTAGAGGGCCGCCTCCTCGGTCGGAGCGACCAGCGCCGGGGAACAGAACATGGAGGAGGCCAGCGGCCGCCGCCGCAACGATCACTGCTGGGGAGGGGCAGGAAGACGAGGGGGAGAGATTATGAGGACCTGGATGAGGAACAAAGGCAGAACCGTCGGCATTTGGGATGTCGGTTCATTATGGGTGGAAATACCGGAGGGGACTCGGTGTCCTCACGGAAGAAATAGAAGAATATGGTTCACCTGAGGTGCAGCCGCTGCCCAAGCGGAAGAAGAAGGAACCCTTGATCTTCATTAATGAAGATTACCCACCAGTCCTTAGTTTCCATCGGGATACATTGGTGGTGAAGATAGAGATTAACAACGTGGTCGTCCATCGCACGTTGGTCGATACTAGAAGCTTAGCCAACATTATGTATAACAATACCTTCAAAGAACTAGGCTTATCTCGGGGAGACCTTAAACCAATCCACACCCCGCTGTTAGGATTCACAGGGGATACTATTGAAGCGGAGGGAACCATTACAGTGAAGGATGGGGTATGAGATGGCACCCACCGACTTTGGCTCGACATGGAATTTATGGTAGTGCAGCTTGATTGTGCACACCATTTAATCCTAGGGCGATCGGGTCTGGAGGACTTGGAGTGCGTAATCTCCCCCGTCCACCTGTGTATGGAGTTCATCACCCCTACCGGGGTAGGGGTGGCAAGAGGAAATCAGCGTCTGTCCCGGTCGTGCTATGTCAGGGCAACCAAGATCCAGACACGATTCGACGAAAATGTCAGCACGATCTGTTCCGCGATACAGAGGGAAGAAGGGCAAGCCAGAGCGGAGCCAGCGGAGGAGGTAGAAGAAGTTTCCCTAGATCCAGCCAAGCCGGAGCAAAAGGTGAAGGTAGATAAAGCCCTGCCACTTAAGTTGAGGAGCAGTTGGTGGGTGTCCTCCGTTCATTCAAAGTGTTATTTGCCTGGGGTCCAGGGGATATGCCTGGGGTCGACCCACGAATCATCTGCCACAGATTGGCGGTAGATCCGGCCCACAAGCCGGTCAAACAGAAGAAACGTTTCTTCTCCTCGGAAAGGAGAGACTTTGTCACTAAGCAAGTGACCACCCTGCAATCCATCGGGCACATTCGGGAAGTCCGCTACCCGGAGTGGTTGGCAAACGTAGTCCTCGCATCCCAAGGGAACACCTGGCGGATGTGCGTCGATTACACCGACCTAAACAAAGCTTGCCCGATGGACCCGTTCCCTCTCCCCAACATTGACCAGTTGGTGGACGAAATGGCAGGGTGCGAGTTAATGAGCTTTATGGATGCTTTTAGCGGGTACCATCAGATCAGGATGGCCACGGCAGACGAAGAAAAGACATCCTTCATCACCCCCAATGGGGTATACTTTATAAGGTAATGCTTTTCGGCCTGAAAAATGTTGGCACGACCTATGCACAAATGGTCAATAAGCTGTTCGCGCCGGTGCTAGGGGTGTATGGAGGCGTATGTGGATGATATGATTGTTAAGTCAAAGCAGATGTTATCCCATGCTCAGGATTTAGAAATGGATGGTCTTAAATAAAGAAAATTAAATAGTTTACTGTTATCACTCTTTTGATCTTGCATCAACTTTTTCTTAAATTTGAATGATGTTTGGATTGAATTATAATTGCCTCAAAAATGATGTACCAAATTCTAGCAAGTTGAGGGGAACATGTATCTATGAAAAATTTACTTAAGTGTGAGTAATGGAAACAAACAAACATATAAAGTAAGAGTAAATTACTGAAATAAGACCTAAAGCTAGCCATTTTCCGTAAATAGAAGTACTCCTATGCTTCTCAGATTTCGCCGAAGACAAAGGACAAAATAACCCTCCACCTTAGTCTTTAAAAAATAAAAATGAAAAATACCGTTGTACAGGGAATCACGAAAAAAAGGCGCAATCTTTGTCGGTGATACAACGCACTACTTACCATGTAGAGCTAGACTTCTTCTACATGCGGATTGAAGGTCTTTAGTTTAGTAGATCTAATATTCTTTCCATTTCAGCTAGGGTTCATTGAAAATCAATTCCTCGTCTCCGAGCACCCTTGAGAAAAACGATGTCGATCAGAAGCGCCATTGTGAAGAGAATGTCTAGCAGAGCCGCAGTAGATGACGACGATGATTTTGTGGATGAAATTCCTATTATAAAGACCTGGAACTTAATGAATACAACCTCTACGCGAGTAAGTTTTTGTGATTTATTTTGATTATGTGTTTTTTGCGGTTTGAAATGCGCCCAATTTTATGGAAGCATAGGCTAGTGCATGTGAGATGTTTGATTTAATGACTCTGACGGTGAGATGGGTCAAATGTTTTAGTTGCAAATCTAGTTTTTTTAATGGAAAATTCTACTTGTACCCCACATTTATACACCAATGGTTTGTCTTGAAATTAAATATAAGTACAAAATTGGTATTATGTCAGTGTTAGACTTACATTTTGTGTCAGGGCAAATCTTTGATATATACAAAATGGGCTGTGAGAGTAGCACAATCCTCCCGTTGTAAAATACTCCCTTCGTCCCAAAAAGATCGTTACGTTTCATTTCTTTGCGCATCACAAAAAGCAATGCTACTCACATCTAAAATTTCTAAAATTTACCATATTTACTCTTTATTATAAGATGAAATTGTTTTGAAAGTTTTTTTGGCATTTGAAACGATATAAAAATATTTTAAGGGATGCGCAAAGAAATGAAACGTAACGATCTTTTTGGGACGGAGAGAGTATAATGGATGAAAGAACAATATGGTAATTCCAATAAAGGAAGGACCACAAGGCATGCAGAGCGCCGGCCACTCTCTAGCTGTGTCTATTACACGCCAGGCCAGACGCAGCACCTTCTCTCTCCTGGTCATTCGCTCTGCTTCCGCCTCTGTACTCTCTCTCTCTCTCTCTCTCTGCACCCTCACTAGCTCTCTTATCCTCTTCAATTCAATCCAGTGTTTTCATAGCCCTCACAAAAGGAATAATCGCCGAGACTTGGACTCCGGTGCCGTCGGAAAATCGTGGTCGTCGATCGGTTCATTTCAAGGTTTTTTTCGCACCTCTCGTTCTTCATAATCGCAGAGGCTTCAACTTTTGTCAGGTTGTGCTCCTTCGTTTCATTTCAAGGTTTTTTTTCGCACCCCTCGTTCAAGGTCATTTGAAGGTTTTTTCAAACTTTATCTTTCCTTTATTTATTCATTTATTTTATTTTTTTTTTTTTCCGAAAATTTTCATGTTTAGGGCAAAAAAAACAAAATTAAAAATAAAAGGTTGAAGTCAACCAAATTTCAAACTCTTGCAGGTATGTCCTCCAAAAGAGGAGAGAGCTCAGCGCGGAAACAAAAGGAGGAGGCACATGATGATGATGCTGAACCAATCTTCGACTCAGATAAAAACTATTTTGACAAAAAAAAAAAAGAATCGGGATCATGATGCTGCTGAGCCAACTAGAGGTATGTGCATTTTAACAAAATAAATACGGAAGTACCGTATTTTGCATTAATTTATACTTGTGTGCGGTTTGGACCGGATCGGGATGGCCCATTCCATGTAATCTTAAAGTCTAAAACCATTTCACATCATGAGAATTGATACCATCCTTAAATTGGACTACTTTTAAACCATAAATAAAATGCCCCTTAACATTTCACAACAAATTTCGAAATTAACGTTGTCCTGTTATACTCTTTCCGTCCAACAACAACATTCCTGACAAAGTTCCTGTTGCAAGTTACGATTGTTTGACTGAAGTTATTTTTAAATCATTCTATACTATGAAAAATCGTATCTAATTAAAAAATAAAAATTACATATTTTAAACTACATGAAGGTCATGTTCTCTTCACCTGATCTGATTGGAATAAGTTTTGATCTGAATGTTGTTATATTTAAACCTATTTCTGATCTTGTATGATCAGATTCTAATAAGAATAAGAACTAAAAAAATAAGCTGAGCAGAACATGGCCGAAGAAAGATCTATAAGACTAGATGTAACATGACTATATTATTTTATCAAATGGGCAACGAAAATACGCCAACAAAATAAATAAAGTTTGACCCTGTACATAGTGAACAAGAATATTATTTTTGGACGGAGGGAGTATAAAAACATCCAAAATTCTACTACGTAATAAATTAATTGGAGAAGTATTTTTAAGTAGTTTTATAAAATTAAATATATCCACCTTTTTTGGCCATACCAAATAGGATCTTCTCCCAATATATGCATCTATCTATCTATACTATATATAAAAAGAAGTGAATTTTTTCCCACCCAAATGTAAGAGTAATATATGGCAATGTTGTGTGTTTTACTCATTATATGTATGTGTATGCATTAAATTTAGTAAGCATTAATTAATACTTCGTAATTAATGATAAATGGAATATGTCAAGGGGAACTTTTTATGAGCATTAAAAATGGGGAATTTCGTAGAAGTACTAACTACTCCGTAATACGTAGTAATTAATTAATTATTTATGGTAATGAAGAATTTCGTATGAGCATTAAAAATGTTTCTATTTTTATTTAAATACATCAATATGTTTTTAATAACAACGAAATAATAAGGTGGAAAAAGAAATATGTTTCCATTTTTATTTAAATGTTATTCCAATTACTGGTAAGTGATGAATGGGAATATGTTTCTATTTTTATTAAAAAAATTATGTTTTCGTATTAGCACTAAAATTGTTTTTATTTTTATTTAAATACATTAATATGTTTTGTTTAAATTATACAGAAAGCAGTAATTCAAAAAGGTGAATATGTTTCTATTTTTATTTAAATGCCACACAATTAATGGTAAGTGTTGCTATGATAATTTTGGATTCTATTAATTAATAATTAATGGTAAAGGGGAATATGTTTCCACTTTTATAAAAAATTTACTGTTTTCGTATGAACATTAAAAAAGTTTCAATATTTATTTAAATATGTTACTATTTTTTTTAATAATAACCAAAATAGTAGAGGGGAAAGAGGAACATGTTTCTTAATTAATGGTAAGTGTTGCTACGCCAATTTTAGTTTCTATTAATTAATAATTAATGGTAAAGGGAAACATGCTTCTATTTTTATTAAAAAAATATTGTTTTCATATGAGCATTAAAAATGTTTTCATTTTTTATTTAAATACATTATGTTTTTACTTTAATATTTTAAATAAGAATGAAAAGAGTGGAGGGGAAAGGAGATATGTTTAATAATTTTTCCTACTATAAATATGAATATTCTTAAACTCTTTTTGCAATTACCATCTTTGATATAAGTTTTCAGCTTTTAAGTTCTTATTATATTGAGTTCATATAAGGCATGTGTTGGGAATAGTGTTATTAATTAGCGCTAGCACTTTAAAAAGACTATCAACGTTTAGCGTTTTCAAAGTCAATTTGTACTGTTAAAGTTTTCTCCAAAACACTAACGCTATTTCCAAATAGGCGCATATTATATACTTCTTCCATCCCTAAAAGATGTTCATGTTTTATTTTTTGTGCATTCCATAAAACACTTCTATCTGTCCTCAAAATGAAAAAATAACACAATTAACTCTGAACAAATTTTTTAACCGAAGTTTTGATTAATGTTATTTATATTTTAGTCATGGACAATTGTATATTGTAATTTCAAGATTAATAAATCATAATGACTTGAAGATTCTGATGTGCAACAAAGACAGTATTTTCATAAATTTATACGAGTAATGTGAATTATAAAGTAGTCTTTCAAATATTGTACTCCGTAAATCATTTAACTTTTGTAACTTAAAATAATGAAATCTCTATATTCCATTAGATACTAATTTGTAACATTCAAAAATAATGTTTATATAATTTAGTAACTTAAATATGATCTGTGCAACGCACGGGTGTGATACTAGTAAATATAAAAATGCATTCGCCTGTGTATCTCGGTCTGACATATTAGATTTCCTGGCAAAACAGAATTGGTTGTTCAATTTTGCAGGCTGATTGACCACTCTATATTACTCCGTATAATTTAATATTTTATTTAAAAGTCCAAATTAAAACGGAATCGGTACTGCTGTTTTGGTACGCAATAATTTTTTTTGTATAAACATTAGTTCCTCCTACCTAAATATGTTATGCACTTTGCAAAAATAAAATGCAATGTTTAATTCTTTCAATATATTTTGTTTCAAAGATATAATAAAAAACAAATACTCCCTCCGTCCACTTAAGATCTTTCTATTACGCGTTACGAGGCTTGACCGACTTTATTTTCAATTCAATTTAATTGATTATAGAAGTAAAATTTTAAAATAAAATTTATATAGTAATAAACTACATGAAAAGTTCTACAAAACTAGAGGTGTCAAGACTATATTATTTTACGAAATGACTTGTAAAAATGAGCAAACAAAGTGAGTAAAGTTTGACCTAATAAATAGTGTCTAGAAAGATCTATGGTGTGCAAAGGGAGTACCATTTACATACAAGTATTTAAATTAGATCTTTTGAGATAGATGAAAGTAGCAAGTTTGATCTAAAGTTGAACCGTGCACATAGGAAAATGAGGAAAAATGAATTCAAACAACATAATACAAAATA